TATTGAAGGTGATGACGCGTGTGGTGTGGTTGGCTAGACATGCCTACTAATTCGGTCCAAATTTTAATTAATTAATAAAAAATTAAGTAGGCATCCAATTAAGTCAAATTTAGTTTCAGATTGCATTGTCTTCATGTCTTGACCCACGTGCTAACTTTGAATCGTATCGGTCAAGTAGAACTGTCCGAATTTTCACTCCTGCGTTTTCGTCTAGACTGACGACTGACGACAGACAGACTGACGAGGAAGTGAGTTAAATAAAAGCTTGTAAAAAAAATTCATAAAAAACGTTTTAATAACAAGCTTTTATGTAATGATGCACTAAAAAGTAGAAAATAAATTATAGACTACTATTTAAATAACTATAAAGAAAAGCGTGGGTCACTTTAGTATCTATTGGATACCTTTAGTAATGTTAAGGAAGACACCCACGCTTTTCTTTATAGTTATTTAAATAGTAGTCTATAATTTATTTTCTACTTTTTAGTGCATCATTACATAAAAGCTTGTTATTAAAACGTTTTTTATGAATTTTTTTTTCAGTACTTTACATGTTTTATTTACAATAGAGTTACATGACTAAAAACCATTGCGCGCCTACTGAACATCACGTTCAGTAGGCGCGCAATGGTTTTTGAACGCAGCCATTGAAGCTATTGAAGCTGATGACGCGTGTGGTGTGGTTGGCTAGACATGCCTACTAATTCGGTCCAAATTTTTATTAATTCATAAAAAATTAATTAGGCATCCAATTAAGTCAAATTTAGTTTCAGATTGCATTGTCTTCATGTCTTGACCCACGTGCCAACTGTGAATCGTGTCGGTCAAGTAGAACTGTCCGAATTTTCACTCCTGCGTTTCCGTCTAGACTGACGACTGACGACAGACTGACGAGGAAGTGAGTTAAATAAAAGCTTGTAAAAATAGAATAGAATCTCAGTAAAAAACAATTGCGCACCAAGCGAACGCCTAATAAAAGTGTGTATAATAGTGCGCAATAGTATTAGTACTTTATAAATTTACATGAGTTTTTTGAGAAATCGGAAGTAGCGTAAAGTACTACTTCCGGTCAACGGAAATTACTCAAAATTTAACAGAAGGTAGAGAATTAGATCTTTTACTTACATGTGAAATTTCATTTATCTATCTGAAATAGTACTCAAGTTATAGGCTTTTGAAAAATTCAAAGTAGAAAAAGTACCACTTCCGGTTATCCGAAATCGCTCAAAAGTTGATACGGATCTACGATTTTGATATAATACTTGTATATGAAATTTCATCAACCTAGCTGTAACGGTACTCAAGTTATCGTGTTTACACACGGACACACACACACACACACACGGACACACAGACATACGGACAAGATTGCAAAATTATGTTTTTCCGTATCAGTGAGATGTAAAACGTCGAGATTTGCAAAAATCTCGAATTTTTTTTTTGCACGATTACAAGACTTTCTTTATACTTCGTATATACCAGAAAGTAAAAAAGGAAAACATTCTTTTAATATAACGAAGGGGAGTGTTGTGGGAGTGTTGGGGGGGGGGGGGAGGGGAGGTCGTCTGGTGGAGGTCGTCATGATCTGTGTGGACAGACGTGGTCTGGGGCAATGACTGGTGTGGGGACGGGATGCGGGTGGGCGAGTAAGAAGGTCATTAGGTCATGTCAGGTCAATGTAAGAATATAAAATACTTTTAGCTTTCTTTCTGATGTTTAATTTTATGCCAAGAAAAAAAACATAAAAAAACCCACAGAAAGCTAGAAATTAAAAAGAAAATCAATACTGAACTTAGAAATTATCTGCCAATGTTTAATTCCCCTACCATTGAAAGAAACTCTGCAGTAAAATTGATTTGTAAGATTTGCTTTAACCCATGAATGAACTCAAAAAACGCTGACTGTGGTGTTTCTTGGCCGACGATTTTGGGGTGAACGATGATCGAACGTGTGTACTTTTAGCTGGGACTAGATCGTTACCGTTCTATCCAGGGGGAATGGGTGTGTGTAAAAAGTGCAATATTGATGGTTATCGTGGCGACCTGTTTATGTATCTAGGTCAAGCGGAACTTTAAAGTAAATGCTATCAATGTGATCCATATTTGGAAATGAGGCGTTTAATGCTAAAATTAACTTTAAAAAAAAAGCCTAAATCCAATAAAATATTCGCCAGAGCAATGAAGCGCAGGCCTTCATTTCAAAATTGTTTATCTATACCCAGATCTCCTGATTCTTACTGAAAATATATGTATTTTACTTATTTTATAGGAGTCAGTTTTGGAACATATTAAAAAAAAAAAATTACATTCACTTTTATATGTTGATGGTAGGAAGAGCCGAAGGTGAAGGTCACAGTAATACGATGGCCTCTCCAACAAGTTTTATGTAAAAATGTTCTATTTATAAACCTATCAATGAAAACTTAAACAAACTAGTTCATTAAACAATCACTGTAACTTTTTAATTATTGTCAAAATGTAATCGATGCATATCTTGCCTTACTGGTGGTGTAGAGTTGGGTGAAGAGTTGATTGCATGTTGACACCGAGACGGTAAGACCTGATATTGAAATAAAATTAAATAACATTTTGTTGTAATTTTTAAAAAAAAAAGTATTTTAGTTGTAAAATGGTGCTTGATAGTTAAAAATGTGGATGTTTTTTTTTTTTATAGAGGAAGAAACAGCTGCCTGTAAGGTCTACTGTAAATCTTATTGAAGGAGCTCAGCGTCAAGATCTTAAAATTGATTAATTGGGCTCAGAACGAGAAAGCTCGAGAGCTTAAAATTTATTAATTAAGTTCAGAACAAGAAACTTCGAGAGCTTAAAATGTATGAATTGGGTTCAGAATAAGAAAGTTCGAGAGCTTAAAATTTATTAATTAAGTTCAGAACAAGAAAGCTCGAGAGCTTAAAATTGATTTAATGAGCTGAGGAGCTGAAAGGTCCAGAGCTTAAAAGGGATGCAACAGGTTCAGGAGCAGAAAGGCGTAGAGCCATGCACCAAAGGCCTTATATACGGTATGTCTAGGTCTCGACAGGTTGTTGGGCTTTAGGCTGAGGTGTGGGAGGGGGTGGAGGGGTGCGTCCAGGAGAAATAGCCCCAGGGTTTCTTTACCTAGCATACGGTTCACACAAAAATCTGATAACGATTTTGTGTTAAAATGTAATCCGATTTTCAAAATGTGTGCCAAGTATGATGAGAAATTAGGTGTGGTTTGAAGCATAGATCAGCCTCTTATTTTATTCTGGGATTTACATGAGCCCAGCGCCCAGGGCGGCCTTTGTGTCACAGGCGTTCGATTTATCTTGTTCTTGTTTCACCTGTGGATTTGATCACGTGTCAGGGTCGGGCACAATGTCTGAGGGTGAAACGGTTGGCCCATTGTTGTATTATGGCCACCAAATTTTTAGCCAGAATTGGTTGGCTCATTGTTGTATTATGGCCACCAAATTTTGAGGCTGAATAGGTTGGCCCATTGTTGTATTATGGCCACCAAATTTTGAGGCAGAGATGGTTGGCCTGTGGTTATATAATGGTCATCGAATTTTTAAGGGAAAAATAGTTGGTCAATTATAAATTTGCCATTAAAATTTGAAACCTAAACCATTAGTATATTATATTATATTTTAACAAAAAAAAATGACTAACAATTGGCTTAATATTCAGAGTAGATATTGACTTCCGTTTGAGACAATCAAATAAACTTTACAAAACCTCCTCTTTTGATTACATTTTTATCTAGAATAAAAAACTTAACAAAACACCCTCCCCCTAATTACACTTATATTCAGGATAATAATCTACACAAGCATTATCTATCAGGGAATGTAAAAATACTTCAATTAAAAATAAAATGCACTAACACACTAAACCAAGGAGAATGTGGTTTTCCTTTACATCAACGAAATGTGGTGGTACTAATCTAGCAACAAAAATGTGATGTAATAGATTTTGAGAACCGTTCTCCAGGGTTGATAGTTGGCCAGTCACGTGATGAGATCAGCATCAGTCAGTGAAATCTATCGGCCGATTCAAAGTTGAGTTCAGTTTTTAGCGCTGCGATAAGATCAGAAATTTGTAATTAATTATTTGAAATATTAATGCGAAATAGCGAATTTTGAACTAACACACAAATCATTATGATCAATAAGGATGATTTGGACATTGAATTTAATTTATTCAACCAGCCATTTAAAAGTGATTTATAAACCTAATATTGGAAATAATAAAATACAAATATAAATTATATTTTCAAATATTATTTTCCATGCTGCTTAAAATAAAAATAAACAATGATGTTTTTGAGATTTAAAAAAAGGTATTTTTTAGCAACCAACAAATGAACATAAACTTAGAGTTGCATCACTTTTAAAGTGAAACAACTAAAACAATCTATGAGTTGCCGCCCATTTAAAAAGAAACCACTAAACAATTTATGAGTCGCCGCCCCCACCCCCCATTTAAAAAGAAACCACTAAACAATCTATGAATTTCTAACTAGATTGCTTTAATTTGTTGATGCAATACAGATTACACTACAGATTACACCACAGATTACACTATTCCTGACAAAATCAACATCAAGTTGTCTAAACATTTGTACTACAACTTTCTTTTATAATCCATTAATTTTTCAATAAAAACCACACATAAAACCTCCGTGTTGTAGCTCCACCAAGCAACTCCACCCAAAATAGTGTACCTACTTTATACATTGTTTAAATCAAGTTCTAAGTATGTATGTTACATTTTACAGTGTTTTCCTAAAGTAAATTAAAAGAATACGACCATCTTTTCCTTACGATTAGAACAGAATTGCCCACTTCGACATACAGTTTAGTTTGCTAAGTCTTTTTCTAAATTAATTTCAATTGCAGATCCGGCAAGTGAATTTAAAAACTGAATTAATTTCAGCCGGCTAAAAATATAAAAGAAATTTATTTTGGATTTAAGCTAATCTCGGTGATGAAGATGATAGGAGATTTGCTGACAGCGACTCGCCAAGATTAATTACCGAATGAGACTATAAAAGCGATTGTCTTCGGTCAGTGTTCATCATTCTCCGTTCCTGTGTTTCTGAGTGCACTCAAAGGTAAGTCAGCTAGAGAAAGTTTTAGGATAAGTCTTTTAGAGTACTATGATAAGTCTTTTAGAGTACTGCCATAAGCTGTTTAGAGTCTTAATATGGGAATTCGGATTTGAATCATATAATACGTCTCCTGGAAATTTAATAAGCTTTTTTTTATTTGAGTCAAAAGATAAATCTTCTGAAGTCTTAAGGTACATTTTCTCAATTGGCTTGGAAAGAGTCTTTCAAACTTGTTAATTAATTAGCGTGTGAAACAAACCTAATTGATGACCCTGTGTTAGGGACGGTAGATATTGCTAAAATATTTTTCAACAGAAGTGTTCAAATTAAGTTTGTAACGAAAATGTTTTAGCTTGCCTATCTAACTAAGTAAAATTTTGATCTGCCTCTCTATGTAATATTGTCATCTGCCTGTCTATGTAATATTGTGATCTGCCTGTCTCTGTAATATTGTCATCTGCCTAAGTAAACTCATGATCTGCTATGTTCTCAGGACAGCAGAAAAGACCGAGACAATGGCTCACATCAAGATGATCATCGCGCTCGCCTGTCTGGCTGTCGCACGTGCCCAGTACGGCGGTTCTCAGAGCTACTCCGGTAGCCAGTCCTACCCCAGCGGTAGCCAGTCCTACTCCAGTGGTAGCAACTACGGTTCCAGTCCCTCCAACTACGGAAGCAGCTACGCCCAGAGCTACCCCACCTACTCTGTCCCTAGCTACTCCTCACAATCCAACAACTACGGCGGCAACTCCTACGGTAGCCAATCATATGGAGCTGACTACAACTTGGGCAGATGTAAGTTGATGAAATATTATTTGATATTACACGGTGACTAAAGTAGATGTAAGTTGATGAAATATTTGATATTACACTGTGACTAAAGTAGATGCAAGTTGATGAAATAATATTTGATATTACACTGTGACTAAAGTAGTTGTAAGTTGATGAAATATTATTTGACATTCAACTTTCTTTTAGACTAAATGAAGATATTTCTTGGAGTAAGTTTAGTTTATTAAATTATACTGGACTACCCGTTATCATTGGATGACTGTGGATTTCGGGGGGAGGGGGGGGGGGGGCAACCATACATGACGTCATATTTTTTTTTAGTCTTTTAAAAACATCGATTTATTTATATAATGAGTTCGAACCTCATTTCAATAATAAATTAACAAATTATTAAAGCTAACGCCAAACTAATAATAATGAATTAGAACCAATCGCATGTGTTATGATTTCCCACTGTGCATTTTCCAACATAAAACTTTTCGCTTTCAGTAGTATATAGATAGGCCTACTACACAGTTTACTCTCATGTATAATAGAGTATTGTCGGAGAAGAACAATTTATTTTTAATTGTAACATTTAATAATTAATCTTTCACATCAGTAAACAAGTATAATTTAGCGCAGGTTTCTAAATCAAACCCCACTAAAGTAGGGTAAAGCATAGTGTAGTGACAACTTTATAATTTTTTGTATTTAACCAGACCCATGCGGCCAAAACGATGACGGCAAAACCTACGCCATCGTCGGTGCTTGCTACGGATATTTCGAGTGCTACTACGGTGAGGCTCTCTACCGTCAGTGCAATGACTACTACAGGTTCGAGGCTGGCAAATGTGTGCCCGACAAATACTGCAAATATGGTGAGTATCATTCTGCTGGTTGAGTGGTGTGGTGATCTACTGCGCTTTACGTGCGCATAGTAACTCAGTCTAGTACTCGTAGATTTGTGCTAAATACGAAAGTTTCAATTAACGTGGGCTCGTGTTTTTTTCTTCAGTTGCTCCAGTTGTAAGCTACGACAATTCTTATGGTAGCTCATACGGCTCATCCGGAAACTCATACGGCTCTGGATCATACGGCTCATCCGGAAACTCATACGGATCTGGTTCCTCATACGGCTCATCCAGCAACACCTATGCTCCATCCGGTAGCTCATACGGCTCATCTGGAAACTCATATGGATCTGGTTCCTCATACGGCTCATCCAGCAACACCTATGCTCCATCCGGTAGCTCATACGGCTCATCCAGCAACACCTATGCTCCATCCGGTAGCTCATACGGCTCATCCGGAAACTCATACGGATCTGGTTCCTCATACGGCTCATCCAGCAACACCTATGCTCCATCCGGCAGCTCATACGGATCTGGATCATCCTATGGCTCATCCAGCAACACCTATGCTCCATCCGGTAGCTCATACGGCTCATCCAGCAACACCTATGCTCCATCCGGTAGCTCATACGGCTCATCCAGCAACACCTATGCACCATCCGGTAGCTCATACGGCTCATCCAGCAACACCTATGCTCCATCCGGTAGCTCATACGGCTCATCCAGCAACACCTATGCTCCATCCGGTAGCTCATACGGCTCTGGTTCCTCCTACGGCTCTGGAAACACCTACGGTGGAAACTATGGTAGCCAATCAAACAGCTACAGCTCCAGTTCATACGATAACAACGGCGTCTGTAAGTACCCAGTTCGGTTTTTGTTTGTCTTCTTGCCTCGCTTAGTTTATTCCATTATTAAAACACTACAACCTCTCATAGGAGCTATATAAACTATAGGTTTATTTATACACATCTAAAACGTGATTTAAAGCCTCAAATTGTATCTCCCCCCAGACAACTGTGGTTACAATGATGATGGTAAGACCTACTCCATCCCCTACGCTTGCTACGGCTACTACGTCTGCGTTTACGGCGAGGCCCTCTACCGCCAGTGTGATGACTACTACAGATTCGAGAACGGCAAATGTGTGCCCGACCAGTCCTGCAAATATGGTCAGTGTCTCAGCCTTGCTAATGTTTACCTGGTTTAGATGCCACTATCTCCACCGGTTGTGTTTAGAAAAGTTAAATGATTGTTGACGCATGAATTTTGATAAATCTATAACTATCGCTTTGTTTTACACAATTATCATAAGTCTAATAAATCGATTTTTTTCCAGTTGCCCCAGTAGTCAGCTACGGCTCATCTTATGGCTCATCCGGTAGCAACTACGGCTCATCCGGTAGCAACTACGGCTCATCCGGAAGCAACTACGGCTCATCAAGCAACTACGGTAGCTCAGGTTATTAAACGACAGCAAACTGCAAGACGGGACGATGATGATGAAGATAGAAGCCAAAGACATTCACGCTACAAGTGACTAACGTTTTATAAACGTCCATTAGACAGTGTCAAGATCTGCTGTGTTAAGGCATCAATAAATTATTTTCAAAAAATTAATCATCTTTTTAAAGGCTTTTATTTAGCGTGCTCCCTATGTTTGTGTGCGTGTGTGAATCCGCAAATCTTGGAGTCTTAATTTAACCCACTTCCCATTGTCCGATTGAACTGTAATTTGTCACAGTTGATCTTGTATGACAATGCAAGAATATCTAATTTTTAATATAATTAAAATGACAATTAGTCATTAAAATGTATTTAAAAATTACTATATTTAATACTAAGAAGAGAAATAACAAGATAATAAAATAAAAATAAAAAAGCTTTATAGCAACACGCTTTTAAAGACACTAAAAACAAGAAAATAAAACTAATTTGTTTTCTTTAATACAAACTTTGGTCGCACATGAGAACGTAGCCATTTAAAAACAAGCGCATTTTTTCTCAAATCATTTTCTAGGCTACCGATTAGTTTTGACAAAAAATTTTAATCAAATTAAATGTAAATAAATGTAGTTTTTAATTATTTAAGTCATCTTGAACAATAACGAAGTTTAAATAAAAGAGAAAAATCCTTTAAAATTTATTATACTTGATATTCAAATAATTGTGAAAGTTAAACCATATACAATAACTGCCATTTGAGGAGGCCACATGCAAAACCTGCTCAGTCAACTTTTTGAAAAAAAAAAGGTTGCTCTTATAGCCTTCTTTATAGTGCGGCAAGTTAAAGCAGTTACCCTTCATATATTCAGACATCAGGTAAAATTGTATCCCCACAATTATGATCAAACTAACATCTTTTTGTACATTAAGAATGCCCTTAATAGATAAACTTATAAACTCCCAAATACCAGGTTGCGCATGGTATATGATGCTTAAATAGCACATAAGTCACGGCCGTTTACAAATAACTTTTATCTCAAATGCCAGTGCAAGGCCTGGCCGGTACGGCTAGTTCTTTAATTTGGTCGCTCATGAGATCTTATACATATTTTAGCGACAAACGCTTTTATAAAAGCAAGCAAATTAGTATTCTTTTCTTATTTTCAGTATATTTGCTTGTTGTTATACATAACTTTTATATGTGTTCTATTAAACATCGAGATACATTTTTAAAAAGTAATTGAGGTCAGCGATCAAATGTAGGGAAATAATTACAATCCTAATACAGTTCGATACACATATTTCATTAAATCTTTCGAATTTTAGTTCTTAAAAGAATTAACTCTTAATGTATTATATGAAAACAGTGTTTGTGATTTATGATACAACTCTCTCTGTGTGTGTGTGTGTGTGTGTCTGTCTTTTATGCATCACTACACCTTTCATACGATCGCCATGAAACTTTGTGAAGTTGTTCAGAGATTTGGGCGAGAAAAATTTCACAGGGGTGTCGTCCCGGCAAGGCGCGATTTGTTTCTTTCTCTAAATACGGCACATCTGATCGCCATGAAACTTTGGGAAGTTGTTGATTAGAACAATAAAGGGGAGGTTTCTGTAAAAAAATAATTTCGCAAGGGCGGTGCCCCGGGAGGTTGAGATTTTTCTCAATATACGGTATTTAAAAATTAAAAGTCGGATGCGGTTCGAAACCGTTCATCCTTGTGCCATAAAACTTTGGGGACTTGATGAGATACTTTCGAAAAGGTTTCTGCGAAAAAAATTTGACGTGCAATTTAAAGAAAAAAGAATACATTTCTGTCTTTGTAACCTTATTAATATACACTTTTATAAATTGCCGATATATTTTTGTGCATTAATGTGTATAGTGTTATAAGATGTAAACTTAATGTATGAACTGTTTAAGACTGAACCATCTCATATGTGTAACATACCCATATGTAACATACCCGTATATCACATGTAATTCACCCATATGTAACATAACCCGTATGTAGCACATCCTTATGTAACATACCAAAAGGTAGCATACCTATATATATATATATATATATATATATATATATATATATATATATATATATATATATATATATATAATACCGATATGTCGTATACTTCGGATAATTCAGCTTGTAAAATAAAAACAAAAGAGTTTAATTAAGCCAAAAGAAAAAATCTACCTGCCAAGACGTGTGCTATACCTGCCCTCATTTGTATAAATCGGTGAAAGTACATTAATTTTCCAAACTCAAATTGCACTGGGTTTTGCACATCATTAATATTGTCACCCAAGAAAGATATCATCTGCTTTTTCTGAACATAACGAGTATTTTCTACTATAAAGAGTAACTTGTTAATCTTTAGATCTTTTTCTAATGTATTTTTCCGAGTGGCACAATAAGTTAATGTTTTTTCATTGTTAAATAAATAGAAACAAATGTCTAAAACCCAATCCCAAAGCCGGCGATATTCGATTTTTTGAACAATATTTCATCTAAATGGTTTTTTAAATCATTTGAATGACAGCAACAAGGCTGGTCAAATGCTATATAGAGTGACCGACAACTGACATCTGACATCTGACATCTGGCATCACTCGTTGCTTGCTGGTAGCGTAGGAGGCATTGTAGTAAGTGCATCGTTACATATTATATATATATATGTATACATATATATATATATATATATATATATATATATATATATATATATATATATATATATATATATATATATATATATATATATGTATATATATATTATTTTTTAAAATTTATATGAATATATGATTATAAAATGTTATTAGGAATTGTAAAAAATGTTGAAAGTGGTATGCACATCTCTAAATGTGAAATAACCTATACAAGTTTATATAATCCTCTACAAACAAAGTAAAACAGTATACTTGTTCATAATATTAATTAAATTAGTGGATATTGTGGTATTTATTTCCAAATGAATACACAATTGCTACTGACCTCCACTTCAAGTTTGGAAGTGACCGGTCCGATAAAAGAAAGTGAAATTTGTTGGCACGAAGCACGACAAATATGAATCAATTTAATTGTAAATATTGAGGGGATTGCCTCCAACACCATCAAGTATTACAATTAACATGTAATGCACCATGTAGGCCGTTGAATTCGACTTCAATCTGATTTCCTTTAAAATTTGCTTCCATATCCTTTGTCCGTTAAAAAATAATCTGCAAGGCAGCAGTTGTTTGATTTTGGAATTACCTCTGCTAGTTGGGTTGCTGTCCCCAGCTAACGAGTATGATCTACCTGGGATTCGAACTAGAAACTTTTGGAATTAGAAATTTTTCGTTCACCCGCCCGATCACGCCATCCCTTAGTTTTTGATAAACACAGATTACTAATTAATTAAATTGTTTTACAGTTTTAGTAATGTTTAACTACAACAAAATATTTTCAAACCAAAACTTATTTTTTTTATTTCACCAGACAACAGAAGAGACCGAGACCATGGCTCACATCAAGATGATCATCGCGCTCGCCTGTCTGGCTGTCGCACGTGCCCAGTATGGTGGTCAGTCATCTGGCGTGTATGGTGGTCAGTCATCTGGCGTGTATGGTGGTCAGTCATCTGGCTTGTATGATGGTCAGTCGTCTAACGTGTATGGTGGTCAGTCATCTGGCTTGTATGGTGGTCAGTCATCTGGCGTGTATGACGGTCAGTCATCTGGCGTGTATGGTGGTCAGCCATCTGGCGTGTATGGTGGTCAGTCATCTGGCGTGTATAGTGGTCAGTCATCTGGCGTGTATGGTGGTCAGTCATCTGGCGTGTATGGTGGTCAGTCATCTGGCTTGTATGGTGGTCAGTCATCTGGCGTGTATGACGGTCAGTCATCTGGCGTGTATGGTGGTCAGCCATCTGGCGTGTATGGTGGTCAGTCATCTGGCGTGTATAGTGGTCAGTCATCTGGCGTGTATGGTGGTCAGTCATCTGGCGTGTATGGTGGTCAGTCATCTGGCGTGTATGGTGGTCAGCCATCTGGCATTTATGGTGGTCAGCCATCTGGAGTGTATGGCGGTCAGGCCTATGGCAGCTATCCCAGTTCTAATAGTTATGACAACAGCAACCAATACCTAACTGGTCAGTACTTCAACCCCAGACCGTCGTATGTGTCCAACTCCTATGGTTCGTCTAACTACAACAACTACAACACACCATCAAGCTACGGGGGAAGCTACGCTATAAATTACCCATCCCTCTTGGTGCCGAGTTACAGCTCCCAATATAGCTCATCTGGCCAACAGTCATATACCTCAAGATTCGTCAGCCAACCATCTTACACCCCAAGCTCTTTCAACCAGCCATCTTACATCTCAAGCTCTGTCAGCCAGCCATATTACACCTCAAGATTTGTTAGCCAACCAGCCTACACCCCAAGCCCATCTAGCCAACCATCCCCAAACCCAGCTAGCCAACCATTTCCAAGCCCAGCTAACCAACCATCTCCAAGCTCTGCCAACCAAACATCCTACACCCCAAGCACCACTAGCCAACCATCCACAAACACCACTAGCCAACCATCTACAAACACCACTAGCCAACCACCAACAAACACCACTAGCCAGCCATCCACAAACACCACTAGCCAACCATCTCCAAACACCCCTAGCCAACCATCCTACAAACAAAGCGGATCAAGCTCCCCATCCCAACCCCAGTACAACCCCTCCAACCCGACCAAGCCCAGCCAGTCTTCCTACGGCAGCCAACCCCCAGCCAACCAACCAACCAGCTACTACCAGACGGCTTATGGTAACAAATACCATGTTGCTGGAGTTTGTAAGTACACATTACATTTGATCTTTATTCAACTAGCCATGTTTAGAATTACAGTATGATCAGTATCATCTACATCATCATATTTTCCGTTCGTGTCAAAGACACATGGGATAGATGAAGTAGAGTTTATGTGTTTCAATGAATTCGGCATACAGGGAGATAGTTCGGTTTGCTTTATGTCCAGCCGCCTTTGCTTATAACGTGAGTCAGGTACTCATTAAAACTGGGTGGCCTCAGGGACGTTCTACCGGGAGCCCGAAATCCGAACTCGAGACTTTCGGGTTAGCAGTTGTAAGTTTTACCACCCAACTATACCTTCCCCGTATGCATGACCTTGGTGTGGCATTCTTTCCGCAGACGACTGCAGCAAAAGGCCAGACGGCACGACCTTCAGTGTGTATGGAAAATGTAACGCCTACTTCGAATGCTACTACGGCACCGCTCTGTACCGCGAATGTAACGATTATTACAGATTTGAGAAGGGTCAATGCAAGCCAGACCCCAACTGTTATAATAGTGAGTACAGTCTATAACACCCGTCTTATAATAAATACTGTGGTGAAGGGTGGCAAACGGTGGAATTACGATGGCATATTATAAGACTTCTGCACATTACATTTAAACGTTACTTTATCTAAGTGATATTATTTCTTGTAATATCTGTATAAGTGACACGATATATATATATATATATATATATATATATATATATATATATATATATATATATATATATATATATATATATGTATATATAAATATATATATATATATATATATATATATATATATATATATATATATATATATATATATATATATATAATCTGTCAAGTAATATCTGTATATTATATTGTAGACTAATTTTCTCTCTCTCAGACAAACCATATGGCTCATATAGTAACTCTTATGGTAAATCTGACAACACCTATGGTCAACCTGAAAACTCCTACGGTCAATCTGGCAACACCTATGGTCAACCTGACAAGTCCTATGGTCAAGCTGACAAGTCCTACGGTCAATATGGAAACTTCTATGGCTATTAACATCCTTTTAAAAGCCCATTTTGTCGGCCGGGAGAACAGCTCACTAAGTATCGTTTCTTCAGCGATACAATTCAAATTTTAATAATCGATTTTAGTTATACCTTTTTAAAGAGACATTTGTTTCATCTTTATGTTTGAAATAAATCTTCCTTAGCACGAAATTTGTTGAACTTGATGTGGTATCTATACAAATATTCTATATAATACATTATTTTACGAGCCTGATTAAAAAATGACAACATATCACCCGGAGAACACAAACAGACAAGTGAAAATACTGAAGTCAACGCTAGGCAATATTATTCATACCTTTAATTTAGTTTTAAAACTGGAAATGGACAATCCGTTTTTTTAAAGATTATAGGCGTCGTCAAATAGTTTGGTTACAATTGGAAACAAAACAAAACAAGACACGACACGTTTATGATTATGATAAAAGTAGACTTTACTGAACAGTAATCTTTTACAATAATTCCGCGGGAAACCGTATATCAAAAGCAAAATTTCAGCCTTCCACCACACACCAAATAATGTCCCTCCCCCTCCCCCACCCCACTGACCCCGATCCCGTGATCTTCAACTCCACCTCCACCTAACAATACACAAAGACCAATCATTAAGTTTGGCTCAAATACAATATTTTCTTTAAATAAGCCTCTAGAAACTTGTTTAAATAATTGACATAAAATAAATCGGCGTAAAAGTCCACGTATAATAATTTTACCATCAGTTTGCACATACCATCCCCATGCACCCCCACCCCAAGTCATATACTGTGCTTGTCAACCTTCCACCACCAACAACCCCCCGACCATCTACCTATACCTCCATACACACTATAATTCGTCACAACCAGATATAATACGACACAATACAATACGACACAAAGACCTAGTCACATAGATTGAAAAGTATTACCCATTTCTTTATGCACTATGTTTACCTGATAAATCAAACGAGAGTGAAGCCCCATAGTGTAATGAGATTACTTACTACGGCGGCAGCTCCTGTGACATTGCTGATACCAAGCTGTACAGGTAACGTCCTGTCCCTTGGGTCCATCAGCTGTGTGGAGAGAGGGGGTCTGATACACGGGCAACATCTGGCACTTCTCATCTTACCGCCTAGACTTTGTGCTTGCATTTCCAATTGGCAATCATCCAATAGTCTATTAAACTATGGAGCCATAGTTTAAAAATATTTGCACCTCTATTGAATGACAAAAATAAAAGATTAAAAAAAAATAATTAAAGAAGCTAATAGACAACTTATACTAAATTCTATGTTACATATTATAATTAAAAAAAAAAGATTATTTTCATAGCATAAACATTTTGCCATGGACCTTCTTAGGAGTGTCTAAAAACATGAACACAAACCGTTGAAACATTTAGATTTCCACACACAGACCCTGGAGTAGATCTATATAGATGTGTCTGCAATAAGACAAAATTGGTGTTGGAACAAATTACCAGATCAAACAATGACCTCGCTACAGCGGACACTCAGTAAATTTGCTACCAAAAATTAGAAGAAAAAAAAACAACATTTATGCACAATTAGGCAACAACATAGCATTTGGTTCTAACCAATGAAATATACACAAATTTATCCATTAGTCTCATCCCATCAAATTTACACAGTTATCCACTGGATCTAACAATAAATCATTAGTGTATACTGTGTACAGACTTCCCACAATAAACAAGTCTTATCTAGTCCAGGTCGTGGGAAATATAATTTCTGAAGTACCCAACACAATATATGCAGCAGACTTAAAACAATAATTGTTACAGACTTAACTCAATAGCTAGGGCCTAATTAACAATCAGATTAAAATGACAAAGCAGCTTAATTGTGACTTAATGAACGAAATGGTCCCAACATAACCAACAACTAGGATTCGACTTACTGAACACAAACGATACAGAATCATATAAAAATATAACGTAATTAATTAAAAAGCCATTATTTGTTTAAAATTAGTCATGTCTTACCTCACTGAATAGCTGCGAGTTTATAAAAACATTAGCCAGGTCTTACCTCACTCTATAGCTGCGAGTTTATAAAAACATTAGCCAGGTCTTACCTAAGGAAACAAAGCTGAGTAGCACCACACATTTCCCACACATCGCAAGGATTTATTGTTAGTCAGACAGTCCGTATGTTTTTTTACACGAATACTGGCTCCCAGCAAAGATGATTGAACAAATACTGAGTTCACAGGAATACAGTAGCGATACAAATAGCTGAACACTTGAGTACTACAGTAGACGGGTAAGGATCACTTCACTAACCATCTCAGCTAGGTAGCTACCAGGTACTAGCACATTTATTTCTATCAAACCTAGGTCAATCAGATCAACTCAGATGGAGGGGATAGCCACCGTACACCCTCCCCAACCATCGACAATTGATCCAAGATGTTGTGATACGGAGTAGCCGCCCCTTAGACCCTATGACGCTTGAGGCTAAAGACATTAAGATGGGGGAGGCGGGGGGGGGGGGGGGGGGGGAAGAGAATGACTGTCATTCTCACTTCACATTCAACACTACGTAAAACATAGCATTCAGACAAAGGGAAAAACTCCATAAAAACTAATTATAGGCTACAGTAAAAATTTATGCCTGATTGATTTGATTTTGTTGAATGGTGAGCTGCTATTGAGTAACATTTATTTTAATTAGTAATAAAATCAATACGTAACTTGTTTTGAAACAGACAAAAAAAAATGTATTAAGCTTTGATAAAGCTATGGTAAAGTACTGCTTCATTTAAATTAAATTAAAACACTAATGATGATACCAATTTTACAACCACCTGTGACGGTTTCAGTTTAAACTAGCTGCATACCCGAACTCCGCCACGGGAAATCAAACACCAGTTGATAGACCACCAGTGATCAAAGACCCTCTGCTGAGAAAACACCTGTGGTCAAACCCCCTATGGTCAAACCCCCTATGATCAAACCCCCTATGGTCAAAGCACCGCTATGGTCAAAGCCCCGCTGTGGTCAAACCCCCTATGGTCAAACCCCCTATGGTCAAAGCACCTGTGGTCAAGGAGTTGCCTCTAAACTGTTATTAATTAAAAATAATAATTAGTAAACAGTACGTTCAGTGTATAAAATAAATAAAGGCAGTATTTAAAATATCCGTGTTTTACTTACCACCGTTCATTTTATCAATCCATTCTAACAATAATTTCTTCTTGCTCGTCCGCAGAATTTGCATTCACATTTTGCTAATTATATTATTCCAACAATAATTCCCTCATGGAAGTCAGCAGATTTTGCATTCGCATTTTTTTTATTAGCCTAAGTTGAATTTATTTTTAAATTACCTCCCCTGGCATAACTATTAAAATATTTTAATTTATTAGTTTTTCGACTCTACTGTTATGAAAATGTATCCACTTTTTCTAGGAATCTAAACGAAAATGATATTTGACATTGATCCGTGTAATATGTTTTAGCAATGTGCGTGTATTTAATATTTTCTTCTCGTTATTCGAAAGTGTAAAAAACTGTGGCTACTATAAAATAAATTTAAGTCGTTATATAAACAAACCCTGTCGGTACAGATGTTCCAACTGATCCCCGGAAATCATAGCCTACATCCGGATATTGGAATTACTGTCGAATACCAATTCCCCAAACATTCCAACCAATCAACCAACTGACCTTGATCTATACTCTGCTATCGTATCACATACCTGAATGTACATTGGTAGGTGCAACTAACTGGATATGCTGTTACTGCTGGCACTGAAGTTTTATAGTACTCAACAAGTCATCGGTTTTTTTTAAATAAAAGTATCTGCATGTCTCGACGACACCTAATCAGCAATCTTTAAAATAAAAGTATATGCATGTCTCGATGACACCTAATTAGCAATCTTTAAAATAAAAGCATCTGCATGTCTCGACGACACCTAATTAGCAATCTTTAAAATAAAAGTATATGCATGTCTCGATGACACCTAATTAGCAATCTTTAAAATAAAAGCATCTGCATGTCTCGACGACACCTAATTAGCAATCTTTAAAATAAAAGTGTATGCATGTCTCGACGACACCTAATTAGCAATCTTTAAAATAAAAGCATCTGCATGTCTTGACGACACCTAATTAGCAATCTTTAAAATAAAAGCATCTGCATGTCTCGACGACACCTAATTAGCAATCTTTAAAATAAAAGTGTATGCATGTCTCGACGACACCTAATTAGCAATCTTTAAAATAAAAGTATCTACATGTCTCGACGACACCTAATTAGCAATCTTTAAAATAAAAGTGTATGCATGTCTCGATGACACCTAATTAGCAGTCTGTCTTGGTGGTATTTCAACACAAATAATTATTCTATCACCAGTACCAACTTAAAACAAATATTTAACATGCTGGAATTTTAGCCTTGGGCCGCAAGATGTAAAAGTGTGTACGTATCTTGTTCATCAGGTATAAGGTATTCAGCAAGTCTTTTCATGTTGTGGTCATTTCATTAAACTGATCAATCCAATCACCAGCATTTACTGAGTGCAAAAACAGCATGCAACTACAAACCTTAGCTCCTAATTATCCATGCTAAAATATCCCAGATGTAAAGATCTATTTTAGCTGCTCGATAGGGTTAAGATGGGAGGCGATTATATAAAACCTACAGAACTTGAAAGAAGAATCTATCGTTTTTGGTATCAACACGGGTAAGTAACTCTAATCAAGAACATGAAGGATTTTTTCATCTCCACTTTACTTGTATTAAAATGTGTTACACACCTTTAAAATAAAAAGCTTTTAAAAGCACCACAAATAAGAAAATTAGCATATGTTTTCGTCGGATATAATAATAATGGGTCAAAATTGAAATTCAAAATTTGACCATAACTGATTAAATAATGTGACAATGAAAGCTAGTGAAAAAAGATATAATTTGTTAGTTTTCAACAATATTGTGGCCTCTAGTCTTAACCTCTATTCTAGATTTGTCTTTTAAGATAACATGAAAGTAGCATAAAACAAAGTTAGCGTTTTTGAACTGTGTAGCGAAATGGCAACTGGCAGGTTTGTGGTAGGTACCTGATAGTTATAGATGACGTGGATTAAACAGCTGCATTGTGTTGTTGTAAATATCCTTGTATCAGCGGTCTTACTCGGTTAAAAAAAAAAAGTAAGATTTATAGAATTTAAAATGTGTGTAGTAAAATTATCATATTCAGAGAACTCGAAAAATAAATTGGGTTTACTTTTGAAAACCTAACCGTTACCTTGATATTTATTTATAGTTTCAATTAAAATATTAATTTATATTGGCTAATATATCATTTAGTTTTTGTTTTATAGGCCCCACTTTTCTTTCGGTAAATATTTACTTATAAAATAATATTGAACTTCAACATGACTAAGTCGATGCTAGTTTGTTTACATTTAAATAAAATTTCGATAAGGCGACTAGAAAAAACAAATAGTTTTAGCAATTTTGGCAAATAATATTTGTTTAAAAACGACTACCAAAAATAGATCGTACTTGTAAAAAAGACATAATTTAAAAAAAAATAATTTTCTGATCATACTGTTTAACAACAATGTTCTTTAAAAATATTTGACCCTCCACCCCTCGAGAGTTCAACCCTCTTTTTGCCGTCTCTGCTACAAAGTTCATAGCAATGAAAGAAAGTCTAATTGTTTGCTGCAGCTAATTGTAGATATTCTGATTTTAATCCATGTAAAATTGATGTTTTTAATGATTGAAGGTGATCTAGAATACTCATCGAATTTAAAACAATTTACCATATAATGGTAACTAGCTATGGCAAGGTATATTAATAGAATCCTAGCTGGAAGTTTATATTCATTAATAGTAAAATGAGTCTTAAAGAAATTAAAACAATTATTCTGTAATCCATAAGGTCTTGATGACACAACCTTAATTAACATATGACAACAGGTAGAACGATGTCGCTCGCCTTGGTTGCCGTCCTGCTTGTAGCAGTGGTCAGCACTGAGTACGTGGCTGGTGACGTCACATCGTATGGCGCCCCCCTGGGGTTCCCGGTCGCCCCCCTGACGCTGTACCCCGACTTCCTAGTCGGCAACAACAACCAGTACTTAGACGGGAAATATTTTAGCCCCACCCCGGTGGTGTCTAGTCCTAGTCAGACTGTGTATACCCCACCGTCTAACAGTGGCATGCCCACGAGCAGTTATGCCCAGCCATCGCCCTATGCCCAGCCATCGCCCTATGCCCAGCCATCACCCTATGCCCAGCCATCGCCTTCTGCCCAACCATCGCCATATGCCCAGCCATCGCCTTCTGCCCACCCATCCCCCTATGCCCAGCCATCACCCTATGCCCAGCCATCGCCTTCTGCCCAACCATCGCCATATGCCCAGCCATCGCCTTCTGCCCAGCCATCGCCCTCTGCCCAGCCATCTCCCTCTTCCCAGCCATCGCCCTATGCCCAACCATCGCCCTATGCCCAACCATCGCCATATGCCCAGCCATCGCCCTCTGCCCAGCCATCGCCCTCTGCCCAGCCATCGCCCTCTGCCCATTCAAGTCCCTCTGCCCAGCCATCGCTATATGCCCAGGCACCCAGCAGTTACCCCAAGCCAAGCACTTATGTGAAACCGTCAACTTATGCCTCACCCCCAACTTATGCCTCACCACCAACTTATGCCTCACCACCAACTTATGCCTCACCACCAAGTTATGCCTCACCACCAAGTTATGCCTCACCACCAAGTTATGCCTCACCACCAAGTTATGCCCCACCCCCTACCTATACTCAACCATCCGTTTATCTCAGACCATCAGCTTATGCCCCGCCACCAAGTTATGCCCCACCCCCTACCTATTCCCAGCCATCGAACTATACCAAACCCTCCTCTTATGCCCCACCCCCCACATATACCAACCATGTGACGACGAAAGATTACTCCGATGGCTCTTGTAAGTATACAGTTCACGTTGTGTTAAGAAAAAATTAATTGGTTCCAATTTGAATACCTCAGTATGATTGCTTTCAACAGGATTGGCGATCATAACAGTAACTGAAGCTTATAATAACTTATGCGCATTCTAACCACAGTGAATATAAACAATCACGAAGGCGGTGGCCTCTTTTGTGATGACGATGATTACAAAATATTGCTCCATTCAATAACCTTGACATGTTTATTTGACCTTGCCATAACCATAACTTCTGCTTGTTTTAATCCCTGCATTAACCCCTGCTTGTTTGACATTGAAATTACCTTGACCCCTCCTTGTTTTCTCCCCTGCAATGACCCTTGCTTGTTTGACCCCAACAAGACCCTGCACATTTGACCACTGCAATGACCCTGACCTCTGTATGTTTTAATTCCTGCAATGACCCCTGCTTGCCTGACCTTGAAATAACACGGACCAATGCATCTTTAGCCTCTACAACGTCCCTTCATCTTTTACCCCTGCAATAACTCCTGTATGTTTTAACCCCTACAACAACCCCTGCTTGTTTTAACCCCTACAACAACCCTTGCATGTTTTAACCCCTACAATGACCTCTACAATGACCCTTACAATAACCCTTCATGTTTTAATCTCTACAACAACCCCTTCATGTTTTAACCCCTACATTGACCCCTGCATGTATTGACCCCTACAACAACTCCTGCATGTATTGACCCCTACAACCACTCCTGCATGTTTTAACCCCTCCAATGACCCCTGCATGTATTGGCCCATACATTGACCCCTGCATGTTTTAACCCCTCCAATGACCCCTGCATGTATTGACCCCTACAATGACCCCTGCATGTTTTAACCCCTCCAATGACCCCTGCATGTATTGACCCCTACAATGACCCCTGCCTGTCTACCCAGACCCCTGTGACGAGCATGACGACGGGCTGACCTACTGTATCCCCGGCAAGTGTGGCGCCTACTACGAGTGCTTCTACGGTACGGCGCTGTACCGCGAGTGTGACCACTACCACAGGTTCAGCGCTGGTCAGTGTGTCCGTGACTACAGGTGCTCCCCAGGTCAGTTGCTGCTCTAGTCGAAAATGGAAGTGCTTATTTCCGCCAACGATAGAGAAAAAAAACAACTAAGTATTTCCCCTCAACCAACTATATATATATATATATATATATATATATATATATATATATATATATATATATATATATATATATATATGTATGTATATATATATATATATATATATATATATATATATATATATATATATATATATATATATATATATATATATATATATGTATATATATATATATATATATATATATATATATATATATATATATATATATATATGTATATATATATATATATCGTCGACCGGATGTGAGAGGATCTAAGCACTTGGAGTATTTCCTCAATCGTTCGCCGAAATAAGCAGTACCTTCGAAGATAATAACAAAAGTATCTAATATTTGCAATGTCTATGATAATTTAGACACAATAAAAACAAAGTTATTAGTTCGAATTAAACTGAACAATTAAATGTATATTTTTTATTTTTATTTTTTATTTTTTTCCAGATTATGCTTAAGCCATACATAACTTATGCTGATCTATGAGGTTGACCACAGATTACTGAACTTTTACAAGTGCACTCCAAAGTTGAAATAAAATTTATAATGTTTTTATGCGAAATGTTTTTTTTTACTTTCTCGTATATACGAAGTATAGAGAAAGTCTTGTAATCGTGCAAAAAAAAAAAATCGAGATTTTTACAAATCTCGACGTTTTACACCTCACTTTTGCAATCTTGTCCGTATGTCTGTGTGTCTGTCTGTCTGTGTGTGTGTGTGTGTGTGTGTCTGTCCGTGTGTAAACACGATAACTTGAGTACCGTTACAGCTCGGTTGATGAAATTTCATATATAAGTATTTTATCAAAATCGTAGATCCGTATCAACTTTTGAGCGATTTCCGATAACCGGAAGTGGTACTTTTCCTACTTTGAATTTTTCAAAAGCCTATAACTTGAGTACTATTTCAGATAGACAAATGAAATTTCACATGTAAGTAAAAGATCTAATTCTCTACCTTCTGTTAAATTTTGACTAATGTCCGTTCACTGGAAGTAGTAATTTACGCTACTTCCGATTTCTCAAAAAACTAATGTAAATTTTTAAAGTACTAATAATATTGCGAATTATTATGCACTTTTTACTTTCTCGTATATACGAAGTATAGAGAAATTCTTGTAATCGTGCAAAAAAAAAAAAATCGAGATTTTTACAAATCTCGACGTTTTACATCTCACTGATACGGAAAAACATAATTTTGCAATCTTGTCCGTATGTCTGTGTGTCTGTCTGTGTGTCTGTGTGTCTGTCTGTCTGTCCGTGTGTAAACACGATAACTTGAGTACCGTTACAGCTCGGTTGATGAAATTTCATATATAAGTATTGTATCAAAATCGTAGATCCGTATCAACTTTTGAGCGATTTTCGATAACCGGAAGTGGTACTTTTCCTACTTTGAATTTTTCAAAAGCCTATAACTTGAGTACTATTTCAGATAGATAAATGAAATTTCACATGTAAGTAAAAGATCTAATTCTCTACCTTTTGTTAAATTTTGAGTAATTTCCGTTGACTGGAAGTAGTACTTTACGCTACTTCCGATTTCTCAAAAAACTAATGTAAATTTTAAAAGTACTAATAATATTGCGCACTATTATGCGCTTTTTTATTTGGCGTTCACTTGGTGTGCAATTAATTTGTCTACGAGATTTTATTCTATTTTTAAAACTTTAAGTATTTAAAATGGATTAAAAATCATGTTTATAGCCCGAGTTCTCATCCCCTGTTATTTTATATAAGAATATTCGAGAAAGTTTAGGGGAGATCACTCCCGGTTTATTTATTTGGCGTTCACTTGGTGTGCAGTTCTTTTGTCTACGAGATTTTATTCTATTTTTAAAACTTTAAGTATTTAAAATAGATTAAAAATCATGTCTATAGCCCCAGTTTCCATCCCCTGTTATTTTATATAAGAATATTCGAGAAAGTTTTCTCGTGGTTTCTTAACAGTGTTAACATGTATTTGTGACTACCATCTATTTGATGTGTGAGTACCAGTTATAATGTAGCTGATAGTACCACAAAAAACACAATAATATAGCGGATCCCTTCTTTTTTTTTTCGGGGGGGGGGGGGGGGGGGGGGGTCGCCAACACAGCGGATCCCAACAGTAAAAGAAAACAAAATGTAAGCAGCTCTTACTTGAAGTGACCTCAGGTTAGGTCACGGACATTTTGTGGTAAACACACCACACTCCTCCCCTCCCCGTACTGAGTACCAAGTCAATCCTATCTCATACCACTTCCCTCGAATGTCTGTACTCACTAAAATATGACACGCCAGGCGCTTGAGTAGAACCCCCGGGGAAGGAGAGGGCGCCCAAGACAGACATGGAGACGTACTGTAGACAGCCGGGATGTCTTGGGAGACTGCACAATCAAAGCCGGGGACTGGATAGAATGGAAGGTTATGGTCGAGGTACTCTGATCCACAGCGTTTCTTTTGGACTTTTTTCTCCGGGGTGGGGGAGGGGTGGGGTGGCACTTAAAATTAAGGACAGCAAGAAGCGCGACATTCCAAAGACAGCACATAACGAGCCGACTGAGTACTAAGTCAATCGTATCTCGCACTTGGCTGAGGCGGTCGATAAAATTTAGAACAGGGTAACCGAAAAAGAGTAAAATAAGTTAATTCCCTATAGAACATTTCTTAATTTTAACTCTAACCCTGACCCTTTACAGTTATCGTAAAGGAATACAGTTAGGGATTGTTTTGAATTTGATTACACCCTTAGTTCTCTTTCGTTTTTTTCGCATTTATCTTATTGAATACCGCATCTTAAGCACCACTAATCTCCACAACTTTAGACCATCTGCTATGTAACCCCAAGGACGAAAGCCATGCAAAAAAATCCTATTTGTCAACGCGGGCCTCACATCACGCAAGAGACACGCAATTTCATTGGACAATGGAAACTATAAAGAAAAATTTCCCATAATTCACGTTATCAACTTTAAAATCAAACTGTGTTCGTTGGATGTGGACAAGCATTTAAAAAAAAATGTTAAGTTATGTTAAACAAATCTTTTCTGCTTGGCTTGCGTGATGGGGGAGTGGGATTACCACTGGTAGGACATTAGCACGTGCTCGTTAATCCGCGGGATTAAGAGATTTATACCGGCCGGTAGACCTTCACAAACAGCTGGACATCAAATTGGTTGTCACTGATACACGCTGGACACACGACATAACAACTATAACATTATAACAACTAGAACCTTATAACAGCTCGAACCTTATAACAACTAGAACCTTATAACAACTAGAACCTTATAACAACTAGAACCTTGTAACAACTATATCGGTACAACAACCAGAGTTTCTTCCAGGCATCTCTTCGGGGAGGCTCCGCCCCCCCCCCCCCCCCGAAGAAAATCTACCGCCCCCCCCCGAACGAAATGAAATTTATATAGAAAATATATACTTTTAACAGTGTCTGCCCCCTCCCCCCCCCCCGAAGAAAGTCTAAAGCCCCCCCCACCCGAGTTTTTCAAGTGCCCCCCCCCCCGGAAAAAAAGTCTGGAAGAAACACTGACAACAACTAGAACCTTATAACAACAAATCGGTATAGTAACTTAACATAGTGATAAAAAACAAACACTAGCAGGCCTGTGTTAGTAACTAACAGCAAAGCCTGTAGGACAAAAGGCATAAAAAAATTCATACAAAATGTTTTAATAACTAGCTTGTGTATAATTATGCACTTAAAATGAGAAAAATAAATGATTGTCGTAAAATATATAATAATGCCCAGTATTTAAAATAACTAGAGAAATGCGTGGGTAGCTTCTTACATTTTAGTCAAGATATTCAGTACATAACAAAGTGACCACATTTTAAAATTTAATTAGTAATTCATTATTATATATTTAATTAGAATAATATATTTTTTTTACAAACAGACAACTAAGTCAATAATTGTATTTCACATTGCCCACGAAATATATTTTAAAAAAAAAGCAACAAACAACACACATACACAGTTCCTCTAGCCTTCTGGGTATGATCCAGAAACAAACAGCGGGTGTCTATGAGAATTGAATTAATTAAAACAACACACGCTTTTGGCTGCAGTATAACACAAGTTAAGAAAATGTTGACATCATCTCATGATACAAGTTTACAAAATGTTGACATCATCCCATAGCACAAGTTAACAAAATGTTGACATCATCCCATAACACAAGTTAACAAAATGTTGACATCATCTCATAACACAAGTTAACAAAATGTTGACATCATCTCATAACACAAGTTAACAAAATGTTGACATCATGCCATAACACAAGTCAACAAAATGTTGACATCATCCCATAACACAAGTCAACAAAATGTTGACATCATCTCATAACACAAGTTAACAAAATGTTGACATCATCTCATAACACAAGTTAACAAAATGTTGACATCATCTCATAACACAAGTTAACAAAATGTTGACATCATGCCTACCTCCCCAACGTTATAAACTGGTGCTCGATATTCAACCATTCATACGGTGTTAAATCTACACAATATACTTTACATGACGTCATTAACATACACTGTACACTATACATCTAATATATAAAGCTCAATTCTGTATGTAAAAATAAGTTTGTTTGTCGTTGACATACTTGTATGGATTTAATTGTATTATCGTGCTGATAGTCTAAATTTATAAGTTATAAAATTACTATTGAAAGTGTTGGGAAATAATTTTCATTTTTCAAACTGATAGTAATAATTGTCGGCATGTTCATTAAACACAATTTTAAAAAAATAACAAAAATTCTAATTATGTCTGAAAATTATTTATATTTAGTCCTTTAGCACTTACTTCCCTTTGATAAATTAGGAAAACAAAATTACTTCCCTTTATAAAACATTGCATTAGTGGAAAAGAATTTACTTTTTATTACTTTGTTTTGGTGTTGGGAAAAAAATAATTACATAATTAGCGGGGATTGATCAAGTGCAAATGTTGTAGTTATTTTACGAATAAGCTTGGAGTATTATAATTGTTCATTTGGTTTGGTTTGGCACCTACGTTCGTTTAAGTGAGTGCAAAAGACTGAATAAGTTGGGGTACTATAGTCGATTATTAAGCTGAAACAGGCGATTCTGCCCCGGGCTAGACTGTGAGCACTTTGCGTTTATGTTCGCGTTAGTATTTTCTTTGTGTTTAGGTTGGGTTTGCGTTAGTGGTTGCGTTTTGATTTGGTTCATTTTTGTTCTTTCTTTTTTTCGTTTTCGTTTGTGTTTTTTCTTTGGGTTTGTGTTTGTATTTGTGTTTGTGGTTGGTTTTGCGTTTGGATTTGGTTTGTTTTCGTTTGCTTTTTCGTTTGTGTTTTTTTCTTTGGGTTTGTGTTTGTGGTTGGTTTTGCGTTTGGGTTTGGTTTGTTTTCGTTTGCTTTTTCGTTTGTTTTTTTCTTTGTGTTTGTATTGGTGTTTGTGGTTGTGGTTGGGTTTGTTGTTAGGTTTTTGTTTTCGTTTGTATATGTAATTGTGTTAGCGTTATGTTTGCGTTTTGTTTTTTTTGGTTGGTTGTGGTTTGGGTGGGCAATGCCGGGTTTATGATGATTACTAAACACACAAGTAATGGTGTTTAACAGAAAGGTTTTTCACAGAAGCCAGAGCAGGGCCTGGCCGGGACGGCTAGTTATCTAATAAGCCTACAAAATAACTTTACATGGCATTATATTTATTAGTAGCTGCAACCACACAGCGACCCCACAACCACACATGATCAACCCCTTAGTCAGCCCCACAAACACACATAAACAACCCTTTTAGTCAGCCCCACAACCACACATGACCAACCCCTTAGTCAGCCCCACAACCACACATGACCAACCCCTTAGTCAGCCCCACAACCACACATGACCAACCCCTAATTCAGCCCCACAACCACACATGACCAACCCCTAATTCAGCCCCACAACCACACATGACCAACCCCTAATTCAGCCCCACAACTACACATGACCAACCCCTAATTCAGCCCCACAACTACACATGACCAACCCCTTAGTCAGCCACACAACCACACATGACCAACCCCTTAGTCAGCCACACAACCACACATGACCAACCCCTTAGTCAGCCCCACAACCACACATGACCAACCCCTAATTCAGCCCCACAACCACACATGACCAACCCCTAATTCAGCCCCACAACTACACATGACCAACCCCTAATTCAGCCCCACAACTACACATGACCAACCCCTTAGTCAGCCACACAACCACACATGACCAACCCCTTAGTCAGCCCCACAACCACACATGACCAACCCCTTAGTCAGCCCCACAACCACACATGACCAACCCCTAATTCAGCCCCACAACCACACATGACCAACCCCTAATTCAGCCCCACAACTACACATGACCAACCCCTAATTCAGCCCCACAACTACACATGACCAACCCCTTAGTCAGCCACACAACCACACATGACCAACCCCTTAGTCAGCCCCACAACCACACATGACCAACCCCTTAGTCAGCCCCACAGCCCCACAACCACACATGACCAACCCCTTAGTCAGCCCCACAACCACACATGACCAACCCCTTAGTCAGCCCCACAACCACACATGACCAACCGCTAAGTCAGCCACACAACCACACATGAACAACCCCCTCAGTCAGCCCCACAATCTCACAGGTATGTTCATGACGTCACCAAGTACTCAGATGCTCTCTAAAAAATTCTAACGACAATCATACGTCATTCCCCTTTACTGTCATTTTAAAATTTAAATTTTTTAAGTTTTTAAAAAATCTGGCCTCTTCATCGCTTAGTACAACCTCAGCAAATTCTACCCCCCCTCTCTCCACCCCCACAGTGTGACGTGACTTAATTTATGTTTATGGGTGACCTTAACAGTCGCGATCTAACATTAGACAAGAGAAATTAAAATTCTTTAAATTTGTTTCGTATTTTATTTCAGCTTCTAAATTTTAAATGAGGATTATATTTTAATTTTATTATGGCTTAAGTTGCGTCATCGTTTTAAACTGCCGAGATAAATGACAAGATTTCAAAACGAATTTATTTTCTCTAGACCAGTTCGATTCAAACAATGGGACTTAATCGACTCAAGGATTAGTTTGACAGATTTGAATTTTTAATTACCGAAACAATGGAGATGTAGATACAATCAGAGATTAACGCAATCGGGCAGCAATATTTTCCGGCTCAAGTAGACTATAAATGTCAGCTAATGTCTAGAGCAGGCAGACTCAGTTCCCCTCTTCTGTAGGTAAGTTAACTTTTGTTTAACTTTAGATCTGTTGTGTAAGTAATTTCTTTTGTAAGTTAACTTTTTAGTAATAAAAGTTTTGTTTAACTTAACTCGGTTCTGTAAGTTGACTTGTGTAAGTTAATATTTAACTGTTGAATTAATATGCAAGTTAGCTGCTGCGTACATTAACTGCCGGACTATTACATTGGCTAATTCAGTTTAAACCCACCTCTGATGCATTCGTCTGCGATGACAATGCAAGAATATTAAACTTTTAATCTAGTTAAAATTAAATTAGTCATTAAAATTTAATTAACAAGGTTAAATACAAGTGGGCGCTTGATCATCGAGCCGACCACGGTGAACTATTGGTCACAGAGGCGTAGCGACCCTTCGCGGCGCCCGGGGACAAACTTTCGATTTGCACCCCCCTAAAACTTTTGATTCGCACCTCCCCCCCCCCCTCAAACTTTCGATTTGCACCCCCCTCGAACTTGTCATTTGCACCCCCCCCCCCTCAAACTTTCGATTTAACTTTCAATTTGTTTTTCCAACCCATTTTGGCGCCCCCCCTAAGGTCGTCGCCCTTGAATATATGTCCCCCCCCCCCTCGCTACGCCTCTGATTGGTCACGGATGGTTGGTTTCTTGCCTGACAGGTGGCAAATTATTTATTGTCTTTTAGAGATCGCCAGAGATTGTTGTGGTTTTAAAGTAAATATGTTCTGTCAAATTTGATGTTGACTTACTAAAACGTAGAAAATGAAACAATAAAACCTTTATAATAATAAATTTTGAATAAGTTAGAAATTATGTAAGTGATTTTACTAGTGCCAAAAGCGTTTTTTAAAAAAGTAAGTCTTAAAAATTATTTTTTTTTAAACATTAGAGAGCATTTTAAAGCTTATTATTGTAACGTTTTTTATTTTTTTAATATTTGTTTTATTATCACTGCATCTGATTTTAAAATATCCCGATTGAGATTTTTTTTTCTTATTTAAAGGTATATCTACTTATTCAACCCAACTCCCCTTAGTCTGAGATTTTAGACACTAAATTTGATTAATTGTTTATCTTATCCAATTGATAGTTTGATTTTTTTATTCGTTTATTCGTATAATTTTTTTTAGACACATTCACCCACAAAGCCATCAATCATGTTTGGACCAATCATAGCACTGAGCCTGGTGGCTGCTGTATTAGCACAATACAACGTGGCTCCTCAAAACAGCACATACACCAACAGCCAACCCACATACACCAACAGCCAACCCACATACACCAACAGCCAACCAACATACACCAACAGCCAACCCACATACACCAACAGCCAACCCACATACACCAACGCCCAACCCACCTACAACAACGCCCAGCCCACCTACAACAACGCCCAACCCACCTACAACAACGCCCAACCCACCTACAACAACGCCCAACCCACCTACAACAACGCCCAACCCACTTACAACAACGCCCAACCTGAAACCTACAACAACGCCCAACCCACTTACAACAACGCCCAACCCACCTACAACAACGCCCAACCCACCTACAACAACGCCCAACCCACTTACAACAACGCCCAACCCACCTACAACAACGCCCAACCCACCTACAACAACGCCCAACCCACTTACAACAACGCCCAACCCACCTACAACAACGCCCAACCCACCTACAACAACGCCCAACCCACTTACAACAACGCCCAACCCACCTACAACAACGCCCAACCCACCTACAACAACCAACCAACCGCCAGCCCACAAAGCTCCGACTACTCAAACGACGGCGCCTTCTTGTACTACGTGAACACCCAGCACGTCGACGCCTACAACCAACAACAGCCAGCCTACACCAGCCAACCCACCGGCTACACCAGCCAGTCTAGCTATGGTGCTGCAAACTACGCTCCACGGAAAAGCCGCAAGAACAGAAGGGCTAACCGTCTCTTTAGCCGTTACAACAAGCAAGGTCAATACAACAACCAAGGTCAATACAACCAAGGTCAATACAATAACCAAGATCAATACAACAACCAAGGTCAATACAACAACCAAGGTCAATACAACAACCAAGGTCAATATAACAACCAAGGTCAATACAACCAAGGTCAATACAACCAAGGTCAATACAACAACCAAGGTCAATCCAACCAAGGTCAATACAACAACCAAGGTCAATACAATAACCAAGGTCAATACAACAACCAAGGTCAATCCTACAATGATTATTCAAATGGAAACTGTAAGAAACATTTTATTATACACTCTTCTAAAACCCGAGTTGGTTTAGCTCATCAATACTCACTACCTGTCCTAGACTAAAGCTTTCTTCGCTCTGTTTGTTTGTCTCTAGACCCATGCGGCCAAAAAGATGACGGCAAGACCTACGCCATCCCCTACGCTTGCTACGGCTACTTCGAGTGCTACTACGGCGAGGCCCTCTATCGCCAGTGTGACAACTACTACAGATTCGAGGCTGGCAAATGTGTGCCCGACCAGTCCTGTGTCTACGGTCAGTTACTTTCACTTCATCATCTAAACAGTATCCACGTTACGTTCACTTCATCATCTAAACAGTATCCACGTTACGTTCACTTCATCATCTAAACAGTATCCACGTTACGTTCACTTCATCATCTAAACAGTATCCACGTTACGTTCACTTCATCATCTAAACAGTATCCACGTTACGTTCACTTCATCATCTAAACAGTATCCACGTTACGTTCACTTCATCATTTAAACAATATCCACGTTACGTTCACTTCATCATCTAAACAGTATCCACGTTACGTTCACTTCATCATCTAAACAGTATCCACGTTACGTTCACTTCATCATCTAAACAGTATCCACGTTACGTTCACTTCATCATCTAAACAGTATCCACGTTACGTTCACTTCATCATTTAAATAACATCCGAGTCCGAGTGCATGTATGTGGGAGTGAAGTCATTGAGCCATTTATTTTGAAGAGTCACTGAAGTTATTGTTCCACTGAACGCCATGAGGATTTGAACCAAAAAGCAAATTACTTAAAACTTTTGTGAAAGTTAAATTATTGAGTCAAAAACAGTTTACAACAATCATAATTGTTAAATTTACTATTTACGGATAGGTCAATTGCTCAAAGCAATCATGAATGGTTTCTTTCTTTCTACAGTTGCCCCAGTCACCACCAACTACGGCACCACCAACTATGGTAACACCAACAGCCAACAGGGAACTAAATACTAAGTCTCACAATGTATCAGAGGGAAATTTCAGAAACAACATAAGAAACATATAAACCAGTACCTTCCCCACCTAGCCCATCAATAACCTGATGTATCTTTGCTTTTTTAGTCGAGTTTCAATAAACGAACCTTCAATACATCAAGTTCTGTTGATTCAGTTTTTTTTTGTATAGTGTCTTTATATTACTCTTTATGGTTAAAACTGTTCATTATAAGACAACAAACAATTATAAGATGGCATGGTCGAGCGGTAGTTCAAGGGACTAATGACCTAGAAGAGAAGAGTTCGAATCCTAATTATACTGTATTGCTACATATTGTCGGTGTTCCCAACCCTCCACAGTTTCAGCTCTTGTAATTCATGCATCATTGAACTGGAACAATCTCTCTACGTGCTAGATGGCCATACAATCTCTACTGCTTAAAACATAAACAGCAGACAGGTAAACAAAACAATGTATTAGTGACAGCTGCACAAACCAGCTCTTGAGATAGAAAACAACCACTGCCCCCAGGGGTAGACTGGCTGTGTCTAAGAGCACCGGGAATGTTAAAGTTGCCCCCAACTTCAGATTGAAATTTTTCACTGTGTATATATCCTCCATCAACTTCAATTTTAATCTTTGGCATGGATGAAGATGAAATGGAGAGGTAGCAGCCGATGCTATGGTTTTAAAAATTTGTTTTTTTTTAAAAAGCACGACTAAGCATATTACGGCGCCGTTGAAAGGGGGGGGGGGGCCATATTTTCCTATTGGCCCAGTATTTTCGTATTTTCCCCGGTAGACCCGTGGGCAAATACAACCCCCTGCTGCCCACATAAATAAACAACAGCACAAGCAACTAAGTTGTTAAAACAACCTAATCCCACAACAACGTGTGAAGATCACGTAACCTACGTCACCAGTAAAAAGCAATAGATGTCACAGGTTCCACACCAGTCGAACTGAACCCTCTGTATTCAATATCTCCAGCGATTACAAATGTGTTTGAAGTTTTCTGTTTCCTATCCCTCCATTTATCTCCACAGGTAATGAGATGCCTGAGGCCAAAGGTTAAAATAGCATTGTGGTCCAGACTTGATTAGACGTTTGATAGCCTAGTGTAGGTTTCCGTGTCCTGGGTGTTCTGGTTTGTACCTGGCTATGGGGAATTACCTTAACACTAAATGAGCAAGTCGATTGTTTCAATATTTGTCCCCTTCTTTTGAGCTGTAGAAAAGTTACATAAAATCCAAATACTTTTTAAAATAGCTTTTAAACACAATAACACACTCAGACATTGCTGTGATGTTTTGGTTGGCAAAGGTTGAATTCAGTGTTTTTTTAGCCAATGGTGATCATTCCTCGTTACTTAAAGATAGGATAGTTTTGCCGTTAGTGGTCTGATAACCTTGACAAAGATGATTAGATAATGATACGGGTTTAAATTTTGTTGTCTGTGTAAAAAGTGAAGCTACATGTAAAAAAGCAAAAACACAATTTTTAATTATTTTAAATATATATTCTTCTTATATCTCTATATTTGTTTGTTAAGTTGATAAAAACAAGACTATATTCGGCAACGTGTACCGTATTCTCTACCACAAAGGCGCCCAATCTTAACAGAATTTTTTAAACATATTATTGTCATGATGTTTCCATAAACATTCCAACAAGGAATTTACTTTTAGATTTTTGTCACAATTTAATTCCGTCACTATTTATAACATCCGCCTTCTGTTTTAACCTAGTATAACAATGATAAAAACTAACAAAACAAATATCTTGCTCCCCCCAACTTAAAAAAGATCTTTAAGATAAATATACAATTAACATGAAACAAAATCAACACCGACTGTCAAACATTAATGGCAATTAAAACAAGGAACAAATTCTGATAGGCCAACGTTCCATTATCCATTAGCACACCGCTGGTGGGACCCCATCAAATAATGTCCCTCCTACCCCCCATCTCTAACCTATGGACCGTTGATGTTAGATGTAGTGTTGCGATAAATCAACCATAACCATTAGTGGCTGGACCTATGGAGGCTGACTCAGCCCTATATAATGTCCAGCAGGGAATGGAGATTATTTCTGACGTTTTGTGTATCACGGAGATTTTGTGCCACGGCTGAACATGGCAATCTTTTTGTTACACCTACTCAGGTTAGTGGGGAAGATATACACAAATAGTATTTGATCGATTTTTTATTAAATCTAGTCGAACAACATAGAATCTGATTACACAACATTTAAAATAATTACAGGCAAAATTTAGAATTAACATAGTTTGGTAACAAGTATTGTTCACTGTAATGGTTAAAAAAGTTACTATTAAAATTGTTGGAATAAATATTACTATTTATAGTTACTGGAAAACAAATACCTTTTAGAGATATTAATTGTATAAACACTATTGCTTATAGTTATTGGAAAACAAATTACATTTAGAGCTATTTGAATAAATATTGTTGTTGAGAGTTATGGCATGGTGGCAATGAAGTATTAGCATGACTGTCTGCGATTAGAAAAAATGTTCAAAACCTAGTGCTTGTGTAGTGTGTTGAGAAGTTGTCAAGATATAGCATAGTATGACATTGTATGACATTGTATGACCTTTTCATGGTGTCATTTGGTATGGCATATAACTAAAACAATCTGATACAGCAATGCTTGAGTGGTATAAAAACAAGAAGTGTTTTATAATTTAATTTTGTAAATACGTGTACAATTAAAGTATAGCTTAAAACAAAACAAAATAAACGTAAAGCACCATAAAATACGCTACGCATTTGTCTTATATTTGTGGCTTAAAACTTGTCAAAGTAATAACATATTTATTTTAAACTTTTGTTTCAATCTATTAACGCTCGATAAAACATATTGAAGGATATGCGCACTGTTTAAAGTAAATAACAAGCCAATTAGAAGGAACATTTTGTCAAACATAAATACAATTAGCACGATTTTTATTGAATTGAAAGAGCTCGATATGTCAGCAGTTCAATAATAGACACTGAGAATACACGAATACGTTTGAATTATTTTTTTATAAGAAGTTTTAAAACATTAGTTTTACTGTTTATTCATCAGTTTAAAAACACAACATCAAATAATAATTAATAATAATTTTTGTTTCTACTTACTAAAGAAATATTTTTTTTCTCAAATGTACACACGATGAGTGGTCAAATGAAACTGGTAATGTATATTAAAAAGTTGTTGTTTAACCCCCAGAGCTGTGCCAGTGACTACCCTGTTAGCGACCATCTGGTGGACGATCCCACTTGTACAGCCGGCCCCAAGTCTGACCACAGCTCGCCTTGACAGAGACAACAAAACGGATCCCATAGGGGCGCGGGCGCCAGGTCCAGGCATACCCGACCATTTGCTGACGTCACCAGGTAACACGACAGGCCGTGTTAACTCCCCACCATTAAGTCACACACCTACAGATGGGGCAGAGACAAGGCCGAAGGTTAGGTTTGGTCCAATCAATCCTGATCCTGGCAATAACCTTGACCCCACCTCCCAGGCCAGTAGTGAGCGAGTCAGCAGTACAGGTAGCTTTGGTCCAGGTATTCAGACTCACGTGACACAGGAAACTGTCTCAAACTTCAAGCCGCAACAAATTGGCATCGGCAAGTTTGGACCAGCTGCAAGTCCTCAGATAAATGGGACAGAACAATCAGCTTCAAACTCTAGACCACAACAAAACAGTTTCGGAAAGTTTGGACCAAATCCCCAGAGTATTGGAGCTATAAATGACAGCACCGAACCGCAGAGGAAAGAACTAGATCAGTTTGGTTTGACATCTAGCAACCATCATGAAGTACCAGGTCGAGATGTTGGTCCCGTTAACACATCACCAGATGGCGCTCGACGGTTTGGTCCAACCGCTGACCTTTCTCTTGACCGCTCAACAAAAAGTTCACAACAACCAACAAAGCAAGAGACAGACGACACATCCGCCAAACTTGGACACAACAAACAATCTGACGCAGGGAGACATGTTGTGTTTGGACCAACCAGCCTCGAACCCGACACACCGCCATCTTTCATGCAACAAAACGTTAGCAGCAGTATCTCTAGCCAGGGGAACGCAATAAAAGACCCCCCAACTTTCTTCCAGTCCAACAACACGTTTCTACAAGATAGAACCACGGGACCAACCACTGGACAATCAAAACAAAACAATACAAAAATGGTCTTCACAGAAAAACAAACATTTCCCGATCACAATGTTAACATCATGGAGTTTCTAAAAGACAAAAAAAACCAACCCGTCTCCCACGCTGTGTCAAACGTCTCTCAACAATCCTCCGCTGCTTCTCCACCACCACCCCCACCAAACACATCTAACGCTCTCAACAAACCTTTCGGTCCTATTTCTCTACCCACTTCAAGCCAGACACCAACCCTCCCGAATTCTCAGAACTCTAGAACTCCTTCCTCCCTCCCCAACTTTGTAGACAATCTGGGACCGGCTTTGACGTCAAACAACGCAACACCTACACATAACACATTAGGGACCAAACCCGACCCTACACACATTTCAACTCCATTTACAAGTAGTAGCCCATCTTTCATCCCACTTCCTTTATCCAACACCCAGTCACCAAATCAAACACCTAACACTAATTCAACAAGTTTTACACCTAACACCAACACACCTAATCACCAACCACCTTCAGACACCAAACCATCATTCATCCCCTCCCCTGATAAAAAGCCAACATTTTTCTCTGTGCCACCTACAGACTTCAGGCAGTTTGTTCCTCCTGCCCCTAGTTCCAGTCAAACAACACAAGGACAAGCTCCCAGTAAAATCACCCCTGTACAAGCATTTGGTCCAAGGCTACCAGCTGAAACATCAGCTCCTGCTTTTGGCCCCTCGTCAAATCCTGCTCCTAGCCACACATCAGCTCCTGCTCCTAGCCACACATCAGCTCCTGCTCCTAGCCACACATCAAATCCTGCTCCTAGCCCCACATCAGCTCCTGCTCCTAGCCCCACACCACCCTCTAACAATGTCCACCCAAAAAACCCACCTCTAGTACAAACTAACTCTAACACTGCCCAAATACCCACGCCAAAACAAACCGTGGCACCAACAGTAGCACCAACAGTAGCACCAACAGTAGCACCAACAGTAGCACCAACAGTAGCACCAACAGTAGCACCAACAGTAGCACCAACAGTAGCACCAACAATTACACCAACAGTAGCACCAAAAGTAGCACCAACAGTAGCACCAACAGTAGCACCAACAGTAGTACCAACAATTACACCAACAGTAGCACCAACAGTAGCACCAACAGTAGCACCAACAGTAGCACCAACAATTACACCAACAGTAGCACCAAAAGTAGCACCAACAGTAGCACCAACAGTAGCACCAACAGTAGCACCAACATTTGCTGCAAGTAACGTCTTTGACTTCACTTCTGCATCAAAACTACAACACAACTCACCAAAATTCACCAGCCCCGACATTGCCATAACACAAAAATCTACAACAAGTTCTCCAAACAAAAGTCTATCAACAAATCCAAGCGAACAAATTCCATCTGTTGCCAGACAGTCTAAGACGTCATCACAAATAGAAGCCAGCCAATTTTTCGATATCTTCATACCGCCCGCTGCAAGCGTGCAGATGGATACTAGCACAAACAGTAACTCTAGCTCACAGTCTAAACCTAACCAAATACAAAATGTTACCCTAGGCATTGGTACGAGCTCAAACAATAACTCTAACCCCCAATCTAAACCTAACCCTTCACAAAATATAACGCATGAACCCAATATTAAGCTAAACAATAACTCTAACTCATTATTCAATTCCAGTACAACCCCTGACGCTAACCGAGAACTAAACTCCAACCAAACAAACATCTCTAACCAACCAAACAGTTCTAACCACACAAACAACTCTAACCAAACAAACATCTCTAACCAAACAAACAGCTATAACCAAACAAACAGTTCTAACCACACAAACAACTCTAACCAAACAAACAGTTCTAACCAAACAAACAACTCTAACCAACCAAACAGTTCTAACCACACAAACATCTCTAACCAACCAAACAGTTCTAACCACACAAACAACTCTATCCAAACAAACAGTTCTAACCAAACAAACAACTCTAACCAACCAAACAGTTCTAACCAACCAAACAGTTCTAACCAAACAAACAGTTCTAACCAACCAAACAGCTATAACCAAACAAACATCTCTAACCAAACAAACAGCTATAACCAAACAAACTGTTCTAACCAAGCAAACAGTTCTAACCAAACAAACAGTTCTAACCACACAAACAGTTCTAACCAAACAAACAGCTCTAACCAACCCCCACCCACCACAACTACTAATGATACAAACCCGCCTTCTGGGAACTACACAAAGGGAATCAACTATCTGATGTCGAACATTAGCCAACACACAGAAGTTAACCCCACATTTAGCCAAGAAATAAACCTAATGCCGCCATACCTTTTAACTAATCCCCCAGACACCAACCCAACCCAACCCCCACAGCCTAAAGCTAACATTCCGTCTAACGTTCAACAAAGAGCACAACCAAGACAATTTAACGTCTCGGCTAACTCATCACAACCCATCAACTCCAGCCAACCACGGGATGTCATCACATCAAACTTACAACCCAATTCTGGGTTTATAAATACCAACAAGCCTCTACGTAACAACCCACCGAACTACAACCCAGTTGGAACAAACCATGAGAACAACCCCATCCATCAGCTCACCAACCCGCCAGCCAGTTATGGCCGCCAGAATTACACATCTGGCAACCCCCAAATCCAACCTGCCAGCAACCCCCCACGATCCACATGGACCCTCCAGACACGGGCTGCCAACTCGACCACCCAGCCTCTCCCCACCACTTCTGACAGAGAGCCCATACCCACAACGGTTCTCAATACCCCGACTCACGGCCCCGGCAACACGAACGCCCCAGTCCAACAGAGACCCCACTTCTTCCAGCGCTCAGAACCCCTGAAACCCGTCTGGTTGCTCAGAAATCGTATGTCCACCCCTAATCGGGTTGGCACGCCCATTCCTAATCCCAACCCAAAAAATAACCCAAGCTCACCCGTTCCAACCCCACCATAAAACTAAAAATGTTGAAAAAAAAGTGCAAGATATTTCTTGGAAACTACACCCCACTCGTCTTACACGGACCCCTCAAATTACTTAAAGATTTATTGTATTGCAGCTACATACACAGATCAAGCTAAACAATCGGCTACATTTTTTGTCAATCATTTATCAATCATTTATTATTTTGTACATATAAACTGAACACATTCAAGATATAAAAAAAACATAATTTGTACATTTTGTTTCGTAATAAAGCCGATCAACACACTTTTCCCAATTTTGTTTCGTTTCTTGTTTATTTTATAAAACATGTTTTTCAAATAGGCTACAGCATAAAACACATTGACAAAAGATATGGGTCTGGCTTTGATTCCTATGCAGAGGCGTAGCGAGGGGGGGGGGCGGGGGGTGCGGACCGCACCGTGTGACACCATTTACGGGTGACACCAAGGCAAAAAATAGCAAAATATATAGAGAAAAAATTGAGGGGGGGGGGGCGCAAATCGAAAACTTGAGGGGGGGGGGTTGCAAATCGAAAATTTGTCCCCGGGAAGGGTCGCTAGGCCTCTGGGGGGGGGGGGGGGTGACACCATTAAGTGCCGCACCGGGTGACACCCGTCCTCGCTACGCCACTGTTCCTATGTCGACACGCTATTTCAAACGTTTATTGATGTCTAGCTGTCTGGGGTATATGCGATTTAAAAACAAGTTAATAAAAAGTCTATTGACAATTTAAGCGCAATTTCCTTAATTAATTTTTTTAAAAATGAGAAAAAATGATTATGCCTAGCGAAACAAAACCTTGTAATTGTAACTCCCTATCACTCTCATATAAATTATAAATAAATTAATAGGGTACAAAAATAACGTTTGAATTAATAAGTAAAAAAAAAAGAAAACTATATTAACCTATATCAACGGACATAGTTTTATTTTAACGAGTAGGCATACAAGATGCTCAGTTTAAAATATCATCCTAGGCCTACACGATGCTCAGTTTAAATAATTTTAAAACATTTTTTGTGACCGAACGAAAGGATGTTTTTGTAAACTTTCTTCGGCAATATTCTTTTAAATTATGGCAGGAATCGATTGGTAAATGTTTCAAGTCGCTAAGTGGTCTGGTTGCCGAGATATGGAGCATAAACTGCATTTGTTCGATGTTTTTTGGCTTTTCCCGGAAATCCAGGAAGGAATTCCGGAATTTTTTTGGCCTATGTTCATCCTCGGAACATGCTTAACATATTCGCTTTTGGAACTAGTCCTCGATATTGCTTCGTTGAGGAGGAGATACGACTTAAAGGCTGCGGACACACATCCATCCAGAAATGACGAGTTAATAATCGCAATCCCAGTATGGAAATTGCGCTAAAAATATATAAAATACGGTAAAAATATTAAATAAATGTATTAATAATCATAAAATAAATGAAATTATTCTAGAAAATATCTAAAAAAATACACTGGACACATCAAATCTGACGCGAAAAGTTGTCCAAATGAAGTGAAGAGAGCAAGTAGTTCTGTGTTAAACCCTCTCGGCCGTGTCAAGCGCCTGACCAGTGGTCAGTTCCAGCTCGGCCATCTCCAGGGCCTCGTTGGTGTACGCACAGTTGCCGTCAGCCTCCTTGCTGCTGTCCGGCTGGGTTAACTGCTCCTTCTTCTCCGGCTCCGAGAGCTGCGACACGGTGGAGGCGGTGGTTTGAACACAGTCGTCCGTATCTTTCATCTGACGGCGCCGTCTTGGTCGAATTCTAGAGAAAAACAGGTTGAGTCACTTTTATGATGTGCCGCGTTTTGTTTTTTTAACAACACACGATGTCTATACACAGTCGATGATGTCAAATAACCAGCCCCCACCTACCTGTACCACTGACACAACCTACCTGTACCACTGACACCACCTACCTGTACCACTGACACTACTGACACACCTGACTTACCTGTACCACTGACACCACCTACCTGTACCACTGACACTACTGACACACCTGACTTACCTGTACCACTGACACCACCTACCTGTACCACTGACACCACCTACCTGTACCACTGACACCACCTACCTGTACCACTGACACCACTGACACCACCTACCTGTACCACTGACACCACCTACCTGTACCACTGACACACCTGACAAATTGTACGACTGACACGACTGACACCGCCTACCTGTACCACTGACATCACTGACACCACCTACCTGTACCACTGACACCACTGACAGACACCACCTACCTATACAATTGACACCACCTACCTGTACCACTGACACACCTGACTTACCTGTATCACCGACACAACTGACTTACCTGTATCACCGACACACCTGACTTACCTGTATCACCGACACAACTGACTTACCTGTATCACCGACACACCTGACTTACCTGTATCACCGACACAACTGACTTACCTGTATCACCGACACAACTGACTTACCTGTATCACCGACACAACTGACCTACCTGTACCACCGACACACCTGACTAACCTGTACCACCAACACACCTGAATAACCTGTACCACCGACACACCTGACTTACCTGTACCACTGACACCACTGACACCATTGACACCACCTACCTGTACCACTGACACCATTGACACCACCTACCTGTACCACTGACACCACTGACACCACCTACCTGTACCACCGACACCACCTACCTGTACCACTGACACCACTGACACCACCTACCTGTACCATTGACACCACCTACCTGTACCACTGACACCACCTACCTGTACCACTGACACCACCTACCTGTACCACTGACACCACTAACACCACCTACCTATACCACTGACACCACCTACCTGTACGACTGACACCACTGACACCACCTACCTGTACCACTGACACACCTGACTTACCTGTACCACTGACACCACCTATCTGTACCACCAACACACCTGACTTACCTGTACCAGTAACACTCTAGCGCCAATGTGACCAGCGATAGAGCCGACCCAATGACGATAACGAGGAAGACGCCGCCGATGTTCTTTATGCTGATACCGTCACTCTCGTCTTCCACCTTGGGGCAGTCCTTCTTGTCCATCTTCCACCATTTTGTTTTCAGCTCCTCCAGAGTCCGGTTGTTGATCAGCTTCAATATTCTGACAGGGACATTTAAAGCTCTTTCATACTTCATGACTTGAGATAGAATTCTATAGAGTTTGGTTAGAAGTATAACAAACACACACTACGAGAATACACAGGTCTAGATTTTATTTACAAATTTTGACAGTTCTGTAGAGTTTGGTTAGAACAAATTTCAATAGATTTCCACAGGATGGAATTATTATATATATATATATATATATATATATATATATATATATATATATATATATATATATATATATATATATATATATATATATATATATATATATATATTAATAATCACGAGAATAATACATGTCGGCAGAGTTCTATAGAGACAACAGAACTCACTTCTATAGGGCTGGTAAGTAGGGCACCAACCAGTTCAATGACTCATGCAGTTTTTATTGAGCCGTAGAACTAGTTGGTGACCTACTTACTAGCCCTATAGAGACAACAGAACTCACGCGTTTGATAGTTCTCCAAGCAAAGGTGAGCCGTTTTGTACTGCTAGAGCGTAGGGTTTTCTAGAAAATTCTTCCCCCACCTCCAGCAGGTCACAGTTGATAAACATCTGGTACTTGTTGAAGGTGGCGTCAGCTGGGTGGGAGGCAAGGGACACTTTCAAAAGTAAGTATACATTTCTTCCCCTGGAAGAAACTCTGCTGAGTGCTACCTACATATAAAAGCGAAGTCCTCCCCCAGCACACGTGAGATGGCCGCCTCGTTAGACTGGGGAAAGCCGTACTTGTTCATGGCATCCCACAGCTTGGTGTACTTGTCGCTCACGGGGTAGTCCCACACGGCCAGCTGGGCGCGGTCCACGGCCGCCAGGTTGTCGTTCAGGCTCATGTTCTTCCAGATCCTACAAGGGTCAAGGTCATGAGGCCAACTCAAGGTCGTCAAGTCATGTGATTTTAACTCATGTCAAATCAAATAACATCACCTCTAAGTTTTGTTGAGTAAAAATCGTATTTTAACACTGCTTTTTAAATCTCAGCCCAGACTTATAACTTAGAAATTTGCAAATAAAAGAAGTTGCAAAACCATCAAGACTTAACTTATCCCTCGCAGGCTGCCCTCATATAAGCCATAAATTTTCAACTAAATCAAAAGATGTGTCATTAATTTAAACACATTTCTAATATTTTTTGTGTGCTGCAGTTGCAATCTTTAGTTTGAATAAATACAATATACAGCACAAATCAAACTCAATATTTGAACTCATAAATCCTCTAGTAATCAAGTATGCGACTTGTTGCAATGGACATAAAAAACCCATGTGTAATGAAAGGGAAGCAACCGAATTAAAGTTTCTCACGAGGGAACACAACTCACTCGTAGAACCTTTGTTCGATGTCCGCCATCCTCTTGAAGTAGGTCATGGCCGTGCTGCCGTTCAGCGGGGCGTACTGGACCTTGGTCTGTTTGGAGAGGTCGTCCAGAGACTCGATGGGCGTTTCCAGGCGGGAGACGGTCAGAAAGGCCGCCAGGTTGGCCGTGTAGGTGGCGATGATGATGAAACCAAACAGCCACCAGGTGGCCGCGACTAGACGTCCAGACAAGGCCCTCGGCGTCTCGCCGCCACCTGCAATCGATGGACATTAGATGGACATTAGATGGACATTAGATGGACATTACAGGCAGGTGATACTGGACACCTTCAGACGTCCAGACAATGCCCTCGGCGTCTCGCCGCCACCTGCAATAGATGGACATTAGATGGACATTAGATGGACATTAGATGGACAGATGGACATTAGATGGACATTAGATGGACATTACATGGACATTACATGGACATTAGATGGACATTACAGGCAGGTGATACTGGACACCTTCAGACGTCCAGACAATGCCCTCGGCGTCTCGCCGCCACCTGCAATAGATGGACATTAGATGGACATTAGATGGACATTAGATGGACAGATGGACATTAGATGGACATTAGATGAACATTAGATGGACATTACATGGACATTACATGGACATTAGATGGACATTAGATGGACATTTGATGGACATTAGATGGACATTAGATGGACATTACATGGACATTACATGGACATTAGATGGACATTAGATGGACATTAGATGGACATTAGATGGACATTACATGGACATTACATGGACATTAGATGGACATTACAGGCAGACGATACTGTACACCAGCAGATGTCCAGACAGCCATTTGGATACTGAGAAAGGAAACAAACTAGATCTATTCATTAAATAAAAAAAGTCATTAACTGAAGTATCTATTTTATTGCACCAAAACTTGATGCGGTTGGATCTTAGTAAAGTATTGCCAGTCTCAACAACTGGAAGCTTTATATATATATATATATATATATATATATATATATATATATATATATATATATATATATATATATATATATATATATATATATATGTTTGTGTGGTGACCTCAGGGTGTCAGTGACATCATACAAAACCCTCAAACCTTTCTAGACACCACCTTATAAAGGTGTTTGTGTGGTCACCTTGAGGTGTCAGTGACATCATGCAGAACCAAATCCCCTCTTTCAGTGTGAAAATTCGTGGCTCCTCCCCGACTTCATTCCACTGGGACCTTCTGTTCTGGTAGCTGGGGAGGTAAGAGTTGTGGGCCTTCAATATGGTGAGATAGTCAGTAGAAGTAGAAGTCATGGGCCTTCAAGACTGACAGAAATTTTGTATTCGTCTTATCCTACTTTAATTTTGGTTGAGATTAAAAGATCTACTATACATTTCTTTTGTTAAACACCTGTCAGCTTTATTGGTCACTCGAGTACTCGGATGTACAGCAGCTAAATCCAAAGCCTCTAGTTCGGGTCGTGAAATCTAATCCATAGAGGACGCTGAATACACCAAGAGTCACCTGAATGGACTGAGGTGATCAAATAAATACACCAAGAGTCACCTGAATGGACTGAGGTGATCAAATAAATACACCAAGAGTCACCTGAATGGACTATCAAATAAAAACACCAAGAGTCACCTGAATGGACTATCAAATAAATACACCAAGAGTCACCTGAATGGACTGAGGCGATCAAATAAATACACCAAGAGTCACCTGAATGGACGATCAAATAAATACACCAAGTCACCTGAATGGACTATCAAATAAATACACCAAGAGTCACCTGAATGGACTGAGGCAATCAAATAAATACACCAAGAGTCACCTGAATGGACTAAGGCGATCAAATAAATACACCAAGTCACCTGAATGTGCTATCAAATAAATACACCAAGAGTCACCTGAATGGACTGAGGCAATCAAATAAATACACCAAGAGTCACCTGAATGGACTGAGGCGATCAAAGAGACAGATGAGGACGCTAAAGAGCAGGAAGGCGCCGATGATGCAGCCCCAAACCTCCTCATCCAACACGCTGAGGAACTTGACCAGGGAGTAGTCGACCTTGGGATTCCTCATCAGGATGGTCAGACCCACAAGGTCGTAGTACGGCACCGTGAAGTCGATGACGGTCTCTCTCTCGGCCATCACGGAGATAGGGCCAACTGCAATATCGGCTCTCTGTGGACAAAACAAGACACAGTAAAGTCTATGACGGTCTCTCTCTCTCACTCTCTCGACCATCACGGAAATAGGGCCAACTGCAATATCGGCTCTCTGTGGACAAAACAAGACACAGTAAAGTCTATGATGGTTCTCTCTCTCTCTCTCTCTCTCTCTCTCTCTCTCTCTCTCTCTCTCTCGGCCATCACGGAGATAGGGCCAACTACAATGTCGGCTCTCTGTGGACAAAACAAGACACAGTAAAGTCTATGACGGTCTCTCTCTCTCTCTCTCTCTCTCTCTCTCTCTCTCTCGACCATCACGGAAATAGGGCCAACTGCAATATCGGCTCTCTGTGGACAAAACAAGACACAGTAAAGTCTATGATGGTCTCTCTCTCTCTCTCGACCATCACGGAAATAGGGCCAACTACAATATCGGCTCTCTGTGGACAAAACAAGACACAGTAAAGTCTATGATGGTCTCTCTCTCTCTCTCTCTGCCATCATGGCCAACTACAATGTCGGCTCTCTGTGGACAAAACAAGACACAGTACAGTCTATGATGGTCTCTCTCTCTCTCTCTCTGCCATCATGGCCAACTACAATATCGGCTCTCTGTGGACAGGTCGTGTCTAGGTTATCTTTAACTTAGCTGGTAGTTTAATATTAGAAATATAGAGAGACGTATCCTACTGATAACTCGCTCTGGATAAACTCACCCCATCCATTAACTCCTTGATAGCACCCGACCACCTGCCCTGCTCGTCCATCGATCCTACGTCATCGGTATCATAGATATCGTAATCGAAGTTCATACTCTCCGCTATCTTTTCTAGAAGATCAATACAGTATCCTCTGTACTGGGAATTTCCGTTTTGATGGGGATTCCCCGTGTCGTTTTTTATCTCATTCTTGTAAACAAATGGAGGTATCTTGGTGAAGCAAAAGGAAATTAGACCAAAAAAATTTAGTTTGTTTTATCCATTCGATATATTCCTAAGCTTAGGTTAAATGTTTAGGTTAGTATTTGGATTAGAAAACAAAAGTCATGATATTGATACAGCTTGATGATTTTAGACTATATCAAAAACAGACCTCTGCCATTATAACAAAGACAGTCCCCTGAGACTATAACAAAGACAGACCCCTGCCACTATAACAAAGAAAGACCCCTGCCGTTATAACAAAGACAGACCCCTGCCATTATAACAAAGACAGACCCCTGCCACTATAACAAAGACAGACCCCTGCCACTATAACAAAGACAGACCCCTGCCATTATAACAAAGACAGACCCCTGCCACTATAACAAAGACAGACCCCTGCCACTATAACAAAGACAGACCCTTGCCACTATAACAAAGACAGAAGACAGACCCCTGCCACTATAACAAAGACAGACCCTTGCCACTGTAACAAAGACAGACCCCTGCCACTATAACAAAGACAGACCCCTGCCACTATAACAAAGACAGACCCCTGCCACTACAACAAAGACAGACCCCTGCCACTACAACAAAGACAGACCCCTGCCATTATAACAAAGACAGACCCCTGCCACTACAACAAAGACAGACTCCTGCCACTATAACAAAGACAGACCCCTGCCATTATAACAAAGACAGACCCCTGCCACTATAACAAAGACAGACCCCTGCCACTATAACAAAGACAGACCCTTGCCACTATAACAAAGACAGAAGACAGACCCTTGCCACTATAACAAAGACAGACCCTTGCCACTGTAACAAAGACAGACCCCTGCCACTATAACAAAGACAGACCCCTGCCACTATAACAAAGACAGACCCCTGCGACTACAACAAAGACAGACCCCTGCCACTACAACAAAGACAGACCCCTGCCACTACAACAAAGACAGACCCTTGCCACTGTAACAAAGACAGACCCTTGCCTCTATAACAAAGACAGACCCCTGCCACTATAACAAAGACAGACCCCTGCCACTGTAACAACGACAGACCCCTGCCACTATAACAAAGACAGACCCCTGCCACTATAACAAAGACAGACCCCTGCCACTATAACAAAGACAGACCCCTGCCATTATAACAAAGACAGACCCCTGCCACTATAACAAAGACAGACCCCTGCCATTATAACAAAGACAGACCCCTGCCACTATAACAAAGACAGACCCCTGCCACTATAACAAAGACAGACCCCTGCCACTATAACAAAGACAGACCCCTGCCACTATAACAGACAGACCCCTGCCACTATAACAAAGACAGACCCCTGCCACTATAACAAAGACAGACACCTGCCATTATAACAAAGACAGACCCCTGCCACTATAACAAAGACAGACCCCTGCCATTATAACAAAGACAGACCCCTGCCACTATAACAAAGACAGACCCCACTATAACAAAGACAGACCCCTGCCACTATAACAAAGACAGAACCTTGCCACTATAACAAAGACAGAAGACAGACCCTTGCCACTATAACAAAGACAGACCCTTGCCACTGTAACAAAGACAGACCCCTGCCACTATAACAAAGACAGACCCCTGCCACTATAACAAAGACAGACCCCTGCCACTACAACAAAGACAGACCCCTGCCACTACAACAAAGACAGACCCCTGCCACTACAACAAAGACATACCCTTGCCTCTATAACAAAGACAGACCCCTGCCACTATAACAAAGACAGACCCCTGCCACTGTAACAAAGACAGACCCCTGCCACTATAACAAAGACAGACCCCTGCCACTATAACAAAGACAGACCCCTGCCATTATAACAAAGACAGACCCCTGCCACTATAACAAAGACAGACCCTTGCCACTATAACAAAGACAGACCCCTGCCACTACAACAAAGACAGACCCCTGCCACTATAACAAAGACAGACCCCTGCCACTTTAACAAAGACCCCTGCCACTATAACAAAGACAGACCCCTGCCACTATAACAAAGACAGACCCCTGCCACTGTAACAAAGACAGACCCCTGCCACTATAACAAAGACAGACCCCTGCCACTTTAACAAAGACCCCTGCCACTATAACAAAGACAGACCCTTGCCACTATAACAAAGACAGACCCCTGCCACTGTAACAAAGACAGACCCCTGCTACTATAACAAAGACAGACCCCTGCCACTATAACAAAGACAGACCCCTGCCACTGTAACAAAGACAGACCCCTGCCACTATAACTAAGACAGACCCCTGCCACTATAACAAAGACAGACCCCTGCCACTATAACAAAGACAGACCCCTGCCACTATAACAAAGACAGACCCCTGCCACTGTAACAAAGACAGACCCCTGCCACTATAACAAAGACAGACCCCTGCCACTATAACAAAGACAGACCCATGCCACTGTAACAAAGACAGACCCCTGCCACTATAACAAAGACAGACCCCTGCCACTATAACAAAGACAGACCCCTGCCACTATAACAGACAGACCCCTGCCACTATAACAAAGACAGACCCTTGCCACTATAACAAAGACAGACCCCTGCTACTGTCACGACTCTGTACTTCCTCCTCTTGTCAGCACGAATGAGAGAGGCCTCCGTTGATTGGATGTGTCCAGCCTTGGTCCAGTTGGCGACTTGAACCTTGCTCTTCTGGGTCCCCTGCTCGAACACCACCTCGCTGATCAGCAAGGTCAACTCGTAGCGTACAAGGTCATCCATAGAGCTGTACGAGATGGGCCCGAACACACCTGACCTTGAACTCTGGGGAACCGGGAATAGGTCATCGTCAGTTAAATAGTGAAAACTAACCATTTGTTCAAAAATAATTCTGAAAGGATTTTAAAACTAGAATATGGAAAGTTCACTGTCCGCACCTGTTTAATTAGGTTAATCAGTTGATGACTTTGAGCGCGGTTCATGTCGCCGCTAGACAAGTTGTAGCAGTCCAAATTGGCAATGTTGAACACAGCACCCGCTTCCCTGGCCAAATCGTTGATAGCGATGGTCACAATAGTGGCCAGATCAAACGCCAGGGCCTCATCAACCTGGGGATAAAACGACTGACTGACCAAATTGGATGATAGAAGTGAGAAGCATGAGAAACTAAATTCATATCTTTACAAAAATTAGTCAAAAACATGCAACTGAAACTTTTATTAGTAATCAGCGACATTTTTTAAAATGATACCAGGACGACTGCTGACTTTAGTTCGTTCTTGTGTGCACAAAGGCTATAGAAGCCCATTCAGGACAGAGCAGACTTAATTCTGAGTAGTGGGCCAAATTTGTCGAATACCATATATTTTATTATATTGAAGCCAACTCGTAAACTCTAGTACAATTAAAAACTCACATGGTCTACGCTTGACTTACCCCTATCCTGTCCATATCACCTGGTCTTGTAATGACCTACCTTTATTCTGTCTATATCACATAGTGACTTACCTTTATGCTGTCCATCTCACCTGGGCTGCACGCGACCTACCTTTATGCTGTCCATCTCACCTGGGCTGCACGCGACCTACCTTTATGCTGTCCATCTCAGCTGCACGTGACCTACCTTTATGCTGTCCATCTCACCTGGCCTGCACGTGACCTACCTTTATGCTGTCCATCTCACCTGGCCTGCACGTGACCTACCTTTATGCTGTCCATCTCAGCTGCACGTGACCTACCTTTATGCTGTCCATCTCACCTGGGCTGCACGTGACCTACCTTTATGCTGTCCATCTCACCTGGCCTGTAGTGACCTACCTTTATGCTGTCCATGTCAAAATCATGCAGGATGCCAGCCTGCTGTATGAAGTCAATGAACTGTTTCTGGGCCTCCGTGTTCTGTCTGGCAGTGACCAGCAGAAGTCGGACGGTGCCGTCACAGCTTGGACAGTTCAGTTTAGCGTCCTGGGGTAGACACATGTGTAGGATCTTTTGGTCAGTGTTAGAGTACATGTGTAGGATCTTTTGGTCAATGTTAGAATACATGTGTAGGATCTTTTGGTCAGTGTTAGAATATATGTGTAGGATCTTTTGGTCAGTGTTAGAATACATGTGTAGGATCTTTTGGTCAGTGTTAGAATACATGTGTAGGATCTTTTGGTCAGTGTTAGAATACACGTGTAGGATCTTTTGGTCAGTGTTAGAATACACGTGTAGGATCTTTTGGTCAGTGTTAGAATACACGTGTAGGATCTTTTGGTCAGTGTTAGAATACATGTAGGATCTTTTGGTCAGTGTTAGAATATATGTAGGATCTTTTGGTCAGTGATAGAATACATGTGTAGGATCTTTTGGTCAATGTTAGAATACATGTGTAGGATCTTTTGTTTTGGTCAGTGGTAGAATACATGGGTAGGATCTTTTGGTCAGTGTTAGAATACATGTGTAGGATCTTTTGGTCAGTGTTAGAATACATGTGTAGGATCTTTTGGTCAGTGTTAGAATACATGTGTAGGATCTTTTGGTTAGTGTTAGAATACATGTGTAGGATCTTTTGGTTAGTGTTAGAATACATGTGTAGGATCTTTTGGTCAGTGTTAGAATACATGTGTAGGATCTTTTGGTCAGTGTTAGAATACATGTGTAGGATCTTTTGGTCAGTGTTAGAATACATGTGTAGGATCTTTTGGTTAGTGTTAGAATACATGTGTAGGATCTTTTGGTCAGTGATAGAATACATGTGTAGGATCTTTTGGTCAGTGTTAAAATACATATGTAGAATCTTTTGGTCAGTGATAGAATACATGTGTAGGATCTTTTGGTCAATGTTAGAATACATGTGTAGGATCTTTTGTTTTGGTCAGTGGTAGAATACATGGGTAGGATCTTTTGGTCAGTGTTAGAATACATGTGTAGGATCTTTTGGTCAGTGTTAGAATACATGTGTAGGATCTTTTGGTCAGTGTTAGAATACATGTGTAGGATCTTTTGGTTAGTGTTAGAATACATGTGTAGGATCTTTTGGTTAGTGTTAGAATACATGTGTAGGATCTTTTGGTCAGTGTTAGAATACATGTGTAGGATCTTTTGGTCACTGTTAGAATACATGTGTAGGATCTTTTGGTCAGTGTTAGAATACATGTGTAGGATCTTTTGGTTAGTGTTAGAATACATGTGTAGGATCTTTTGGTCAGTGATAGAATACATGTGTAGGATCTTTTGGTCAGTGTTAAAATACATATGTAGAATCTTTTGGTCAGTGATAGAATACATGTGTAGGATCTTTTGGTCAGTGATAGAATACATGTGTAGGATCTTTTGGTTAGTGTTAGAATACATGTGTAGGATCTTTTGGTCAGTGTTAGAATACATGGGTAGGATCTTTTGGTTAGTGTTAGAATACATGTGTAGGATCTTTTGGTTAGTGTTAGAATATATCACATATGTTTAAGATTTTTTTTTGTAAAAAACACAGCTAACAGGTTTAGAGTGGTACATAAGTTCTAAAACAGACGGTTTGAAAGTTTGTTATTGTTGCAATCATGAAATAAAAGAAAAAAGAATTGGTTACCTTTGTTAACACAAAAAGAGCGGGGTCAAAGGTCAGAAATTTTCTCTTTGTTAACTGAAAAAAAGATGAAAAAATGTACATTCGTGTTAGCGAACACAAGTGGTAGAACAAACATTTCGTTTGACCACAGTAGACACCACCACGTTATACAAGCACCATTAAAATACGCTGAACAAACTTTTCTAAAGCACATGGAAGTACATGTCTTACTTTATTAGCTACTATAATCATATAATAATAAATACCTGATAAGGGTGGTCCATCAAAGGCATCACGTTTTTTTAAAGATACCCCCCCCCCCATAACCGCTCATCTTTACAAGAAGCCAGATCAAATCCGAAAATGTTGTCAACCTACCCCCTCCCTCGCCAAATCTTTAGTCGTTAGAGACTTGAATGTTTTCTAAAACACGCCCTGGATCAAGATTAGGTGCATTGATTGATTTTTATTGAACCTCAGTAATTATACCAGGGTGACAAATATGCAGGGCCATTTCATCCTCATAGAAAATCCTGCACAACTGGTACCCCCTCCCCCACTTTCCTCCCACCCTCCCCCTATTCCCTCCCACCCTCACCCCACACAAGCTCACCACCGTGAGAAAGTTCTGGGCGTTGAACCTGTCAGCGATGATGAAAACCACTTTGATGCCCAGACGGATGATGCTGTCGATGTGCTGGTTAGTTTCGTTGACGTCACGACTCAGTGGGATGTAGATGTGTTGGGCTGGGACGTTGGTCAGTACACGTCGAGGTGTGTTGTTGATATCTACACAGACATTGTGTGTTATCAACGTGCTTAAGATACACTAATGTTAATTATTAATACTGATTAATTAAACTTTAGTCTAAACTCGCCAAAAAATAACACTGCATGGCAACATGTCAAATTACAAGTATACTGTGACTTAATACCACAAACCTGCGGCTAACACACCCCACCAACCAACACACCCCACCAACCAACACACCCCACCAACCAACACACCCCACCAACCAACACACCCCACCAACCAACACACCCCACCAAACAACACACCCCACCAACCAACACACCCCACCAACCAACACACCCCATCAACCAACACACCCCACCAACCAACACACCCCACCAACCAACACACCCCACCAACCAACACACCCCACCAACCAACACACCCCACCAACCAACACACCCCATCAACCAACACACCCCACCAACCAACACACCCCACCAACCAACACACCCCACCTACCAACATACCCCACCCACCAACACCCCACCCACCACCACACCCCACCCTCCAACCTACCCCACCCACCACCACACCCCACCTACCAACAAACCCGGGCCGCCAACACACCCCACCCACCACCACACCCCACCCACCAACACCCCACCTACCACCACACCACACCGACTTACCAAACGTCTCATCATGCAGTATCGCCACGTTGTTGAGCTGTTCCCTCATCACAATGTCAGCCACCACCATCAACATCTGTGTAGAAGCCGGCTCGATCATAACGTTAGAACCGTTGCTAAAATATAGCACAACATCTCAGTATAACCCAACCCATCTACCAGTCTAATTACTCAATATGTAGCTCTGATAGTTAAAGATATCCTATAATCTGTCTTTCTATCGATTAACTCTGCAGACTAAAGTTACCTGATTCGTAGTTGGTAGAAGTAGGAGTTGTCCACCACAGAAATGTAGGCGACACCCAGCAGGTAGCAGGCAGACTTCAGTGGCGGCGACAAGTGGGGTGTCGATATGTCTATCAGAGCAACGACGCCAGACTGTAGGGCTGCACACACTGGGGAAAAGTGACGCAAATACATGTTTTATTAGCAGATACCAGGACATACACGTTTGATAAATAGTTTCAGGACATATACAGCCTCGGTCCCACTACCTCACCATCCACACCCTCGGTCTCACTACCTCACCATCCACAGCCTCGGCCTCACTACCTCACCATCCACAGCCTCGGTCTAACTATCTTACCATCCACAGCCTCGGTCTCACTATCTCAACTTCATCCACAGCCTCGGTCTCACTACCTCACCACCAAAGCCTCGGTCTCAATACCTCACTATCCACAGCCTCGGTCTCACTACCTCACCATCCACAGACTCGGTCTCACTACCTCACCACCCACAGCCTCGGTCTCACTACCTCACCATCCACAGACTCGGTCTCACTACGTCACTATCCACAGCGTAGGTCTCACTACATCACTATCCACAGCCTCGGTCTCACTACCTCACCTTCATCCACAGCCTCGGTCTCGTTCCTGACAATGACGACATTGAACTTGACCGGTTCCATTCGTTTGACCATCGTGTGCATGTGGTCTAATATGCGGCCAAGGTTAGGGTTGTTCGCAGCAATGACGTCACTTAGTACCACAACTGTAGGGATATTTTAGGTTAGTCTGCTAGTGATGAGTGTCTGACATAAGGTATGTTCAGGTTGTGAATGTTCAACTTTCAGAGATACGTGTTTAACATCAGATGTGTTCATCTAATGAACAAAGATAATGGTGTGTTTATGTTCATGTCAAGAATGTTTAGGACAGCTGACAGTAGTGTTAAAATCACCAAGTACTTGGAGAAAATCCTTACCTACGTTTGGCGAGGTCGCTGAATGAACAGTTGTGATCACGTGACTAAGAAAATTGACAAATACAATAATTAACATGTTGATAGGTTATTAGACCAAACGGGCACACAGTCAGCTTTGTTGAGTTAGACCAAACAGGCACACAGTTTTATTGAGTTAGACCAAACGGGCACACAGTTTTATTGAGTTAGACCAAACGGGCACACAGTCAGCTTTGTTGAGATAGACCAAACGTGCACACAGTTTTATTGAGTTAGACCAAACCGGCACACAGTTTTATTGAGTTAGACCAAACGGGCACACAGTTTTATTGAGTTAGACCAAACGGGCACACAGTTTTATTGAGTTAGACCAAACGGTCACACAGTTTTGTTGAGTTAGGCCAAACGGGCTCACGGCTATGTTGAGTTAGAAAATATCGAAATCAGGAACTGGAATACAGGTCGTCATTCCGTATCTTGTTGACTGCTATGATTTTTATACTCTTTATTTAGTTCACAATTTCTATGTTTTTAAAATGTGGCAAAACTTTTAAATTAATTTAATATATCTTCTACAGCAGTGATTTCGTCTAAACTTTCCATATACAAAGATCTAGTCCTACATCTTCAGTGAACTGTTTTTCACGGCTTAGCTATTTTCCTTTGTGCGTCAATCACATTCTTTGCAGAAGACCAAAGACTAAATGTGTTTCAGAGATTACAGCTATTGATTTGTTTTCAAGGCAAATGTTTTTTGTTGTTGCCTATGAACTTCATTTAAAACCAATTAATTTAAAGTGGAAAATAAAACAGTGTTAAAACCTTCATAGTAATTAGCTTTTAGATGCACAGAAAGTAAAATCAATACAGGAAATTAAAGTATTTAAGTCCCATCTTCGTTGTTATTTTTAACAATCATTTTCCGCATAAATTCATATCCGATGACACCGCAATATATTCAAATCTAAACTAAAACTAAAATTATTTAATAACCTAACTGACTCATTGTAACATTTCTCATTCATCTATTATATTCTCTTTTTTTTCTCATTATGTATGATAACTATGTAACATTGTTTCTTTATTCCACATTTTTAGTGCTATGTTACTGCTATGTGTTATTGAATTGTTTTATTTGTTTAAACGGCCAATGTGAAAAAAGGCCTTTGTGCCTACAATTGTAACCGTTTTTTTAAAATAAATTTGAATAAATATTTTTTTTTTGCATATTTTATCTGAATGTAATTAGATTTTGAATTAGTTATAACAAACATTTTAAAGTTTACTATAATCAATAATGGGATTGTAGCGATTGTTCAATCATTCAATCAACTATGTCACCCAGGTGACTTGTCGTTAACAGTTGCTTTCAAGTATGGCATGCTCGTTAGGAAGAGATAATTAATTACCGTTTCTAGTTCAGATCATAAGCTACTGATCAGATTTAAAACAAGTATTTTACGTCGATTAAGGTGTCGACTTAATTAAGAACGATCGGAATGTAAAGAAAAAATTTGTTGCTAATTAAAAAAAACGTAAGTATTGATTTACTATTTTAATTTTAAAAATTCTAATCACTGAAAAGTGGAAAATAAAAACAAACCTCAAATTTGTTTCTAGTAACATGCTTTTAAATACACCAAGACAGAATGTAACAAAGAATATTTTGTTGAGTAAAAGCGTTGGTCGCTCACCATTTTTTTCGATAAAATTGTTTACAGAACTAAAATTATTCCATTTATCTTTATTTATAGTGAATTTAAAAGCTTGTTATAATAATTTCTTTGCATTGGTTTTTATATTATCAAAACACTCTACACAGATTGTAAGTACCGAAGTTATTTTCTATTTTGATTTTATGATGTTTAAGTATTGAACTATTCCATCCGCCGTTTCAATAAAAATGTAGTACAATTATATTATCACTTCATCTGCTATCAAGTTGAAGAAAATTTGATGTCACAGGAAATTATAACAAGCAGAACTAGCATAATTTAAATAAATGATATAATCCTTAGTCTGAATTGGATTTAGAAATAAGGTTAAAATTTAAAAAATGGCAACAACAAATATTATATTGTAATACTGAAATTTTGGTCACAACATTAAATATTTTAAGCGATGATGTAGGTTTTATACAGTTTTCCAAGTTAGACTTAAAGTTTCAAACACTGAATTAAACTGCTAATAACACAATTTAACACACGCATGAGCACATAATGAATTTTAGTTGAAATAAACACACTAAAGCAACTCTAGAATAGAACGAGCGTGTATTCAGTACCATCAACTTCAGAAATAGATCTGGATGCACGGATTATGTCCCCTGGTCTTGCTGCGTTCTGTGGTATCCTTTCATTGTTTTATATCTAAAAATTAATATTTGTTTAGCATCAAGGTTTCCATGACAACACTCTAAATTATGATTTTTTTTGTTCTTTGAAATCTTTTTGTTTAAACTGGTGATAGTTTTGTCATGCGTTGATGTTTGGGAAGATGTCGCATCAGTTTGTTCTTTAGGGTGTGTATGTCAGTGTGTGTACAAAGGGGAGTAACTTGTACTTTGATGTTAATGGTTGTAGCGTCCCCTCCCACCGGCGCTAATGGCGGATTTGATCAATATTGGCTCAGACTGATACACGGATCATTAAAAGGATTACCCGATAATCAATTAACGAGTGATGTGCTTGTTTTCTCTGGCAGTAATTATAAGGCTAGTCTTAATTGATCGTAGCTAAAATGCATTGATCCGGTTATCATTGAGATACTATGTCAGTGATCTACTGTGTCAGTGATCTGCTATGTCAGTGATCTGCTGTGTCAGTGATCTGTTGTGTCAGTGATCTGCTATGTCAGTGATCTACTGTGTCAGTGATCTGCTATGTCAGTGATCTGCTGTGTCAGTGATCTGTTGTGTCAGTGATCTGCTATGTCAGTGATCTACTGTGTCAGTGATCTACTGTGTCAGTGATCTGCTATGTCAGTGATCTACTGTGTCAGTGATCTGCTATGTCAGTGATCTACTGTGTCAGTGATCTACTGTGTCAGTGATCTGCTATGTCAGTGATCTACTGTGTCAGTGATCTGCTATGTCAGTGATCTACTGTGTCAGTGATCTGCTATGTCAGTGATCTACTGTGTCAGTGATCTGCTATGTCAGTGATCTACTGTGTCAGTGATCTGCTATGTCAGTGATCTACTGTGTCAGTGATCTGCTATGTCAGTGATCTACTGTGTCAGTGATCTGCTATGTCAGTGATTTGTTATGTCAGTGATCTGCTATGTCAGTGATCTGCTATGTCAGTGATCTGCTATGTCAGTGATCTGCTATGTCAGTGATCTGCTATGTCAGTGATCTGCTATGTCAGTGAATTGCTCTATGTCAATGTCCTTATTCAGGATGAGCCATATACATGTATAATACCTCAGAAAACTTTGACCAACTCAAGCAACAATGATAAAAGTCACACAAGACGAGCCATGAATTTTTCACAATCTGCCATTTATTGTTTAGACCAGTGTTGTATAAACAAACAGGGTTATATGTGACAGGGCAGGAGGCTGTTTAATAGAAACTCAGCACTACAAACATATGGAGACAGTTTATTCTAACAGTTTACTGATGCAGGATTTCAGTACAAAACCTAACCTTATTTACTTACATTAGAATGTATTTATTGATGTAGACAACTTTATATTAATTTTAAAGGAAAAAAAAAACATGCAAATATAAGAGTTTACAAAATAATTTGAATATATTTCCTCTATACTTATTCGAGATTAAATAAAGGTTAATGTAAAAACGTTGCATGTGATTTGTTTATGTGAAAATTTTAATAGTTGTACAGGTAAATAACATGTAAAAACAAAATTCAACAGTTGGAATAAAATTCAATTCACCCAGATGTGTTGTGTGTAAGGTAGAAATTCCTGTCACATTTTGTCTGAATGAAAAAAAAAACTGCTTATTTTTATGTAATGTCTTTTTCTATTGTTAGTTATTAGACAAGATAGTCATTTGTTTCAGCATATATACAAGAATGTGACAAATTTCAGCACATATACCAGATTTGTGCTACATTTTAGCACATATATGAGAATGTGACAAATTATTCACTCGGGAACATTTTCCTGAAAAGCAAAAAAACCTCAACAAACATCAAATAAATAATAAAAGGTAGAAATAAGGGAGATAACAAATCAAATTCAGAAAAACCTGGACCATAAAAAAGTGGTAGACAAAGAGCGACAAAAGGGCGAGACCAGTGTGTTGAGGTAGACTGGTATGTGAGGGTCGGGACACTAGTTGTACAACTGGTTTGGTAGACAACAATAAATTGTGGAAATAGTAATAAACTTTCATACAACTAGCGTTTGGAGTTTACATTAGAAATACAGTAGTGCTGTTCAGCACATTGTCTATTTTAAAATATAAATACATAAATAGAGAGGATATAATGTCAACAACCAAATCGTGTTGTTGCGTTAATATAAGATTAGACCATAACCTAACATAAAGTTAGACCATACCCTAACATCAGTTAGACCATAACCTAACATAAAGTTAGACCATACCCTAACATCAGTTAGAACATAACCTAACATAAAGTTATACAATAACCTAACATCAGTTAGAACATAACCTCACATAAGGTTAGACCACCTCGAATGTCTCACAACAGTGTACACACCAAATGTGCTTTGATCAACATATAACAGGTAGATCTTGTTTTCCAA